GTGTGTGTGGTGTGTGTGTGTGAACAGTGTGTGTGTGTGAACAGTGTGTGTGTGTGAACAGTGTGTGTGTGTATGTGAGCCGGCCACGCAGTGACGAGTTGGTTAGCGCGCCACGCTCCGAATTCGAAGACAATCGGAGGGGGGGGGGAGTGGCGCAACGTCGAGACGCGTTGTCGTTGATGTTGTTGATGTTGTTGTTGATGTTGTTGTTGATGTTGTTGATGTTTGTTGTTGATGTTGCTAATGTTGTTGTCGTTGATGTATGTTGATGTTTGTTGTTGATGTTTGTTGTTGATGTTGTTGATGTTGTTGTTGATATTGCTAATGTTGTTGTCGTTGATGTATGTTGATGTTTGTTGTTGATGTTGTTTGTTGATGTTGTTGTTGATGTTGCTAATGTTGTTGTCGTTGATGTATGTTGATGTTTGTTGTTGATGTTGTTTGTTGATATTGTTGTTGATGTTGCTAATGTTGTTGTCGTTGATGTATGTTGATGTTTGTTGTTGATGTTTGTTGTTGATGTTGTTGTCGTTGATGTTGCTAATGTTGTTGTCGTTGATGTATGTTGATGTTTGTTGTTGATGTTGTTGTTGATGTTGCTAATGTTGTTGTCGTTGATGTTGTTTGTTGTTGATGTTGTTGTCGTTGATGTGGTTTGCTGTTGATGTTTGTTGATGTTGTTGTCGTTGATGTTTGTTGATGTTGTTGTCGTTGATGTTGTTGTTGTTCGACGTACTGAAATTTCGCCGGCGTGCTTCGGTCGACGCATGCGAGCGGTCCCAAAGAACAGTGACAGAGGGTCGACGTCGTTGTCAACGTCGTTGTCGACGTCGTTGTTGTTGGTGCTGGTGTCTGGGCTGGGCTCGTGACACGGTGGGAGTCCGCCCGGGGTGGGTGGGGGGGCAGGATTTTAGCAGGAAATCTCGCGCATTAACAAAGCGTAAACATTGACAATTACCGTAATGCAGGAAATGGCCCATCAGGTTCACGAGGGCAGTAAAAGCTCTCGGAAAAGTGTGTGTGGGGGGGGAGTTAATCCCTGGGGGGCATGGGGTGGGAGAGGAGCATCCCCCAAGTGCCCTCCAGCCCCCCAGTCGGTGTCCTCCGTCCACGCACGAGAGGATTGAGAGCCACGGAGGAGCGTGAAGCGACGACGTCGCTACACGGGGAACGTCGAGACGTTTATTTTGTTGTTGTTTAAGGATACAATACAATGTTGTGTAAAATGCACAGCACAATGTTGTGCACGATGCACAACGTTGTATTGTATCCCTAATCCTTAAACAACAACAAAAGAAACCGATACACAATATATTGTACAATATTGTACAATATATTGTGTAATATTGTACAATACACACAATATTGTACAATATTGTGTGTATTGTACAATACACACAATAATATGCAATAGTGTACACAATATTGTGTATTGTGCAATATTGTGTGTAGTGTACAATATTGTGTGTATTGTACAATACACACAATATTGTACAATGTACAACATTGTATTGTACAATATTGTATATTGTATTGTATACAATATACAACATTGTATTGTATACAATATATTTAGGGTGTTACAATATTTTGATCAAGGATTAATGTGTAACAAACATTGAGTTTGGTTCTTACCCCCTCACCCCCCGCACGGTTGGCGACGCACGTTGCGAAAGAAGTTCAGCATACACACGTACGACAGAAATTGAACAAACGGACAAAAAAAAACAAGCATTTCCATCAAGGCTAAAATATCATTTGTGGAAAGCAAAGTAAGTGGCTGTCCTCTGGCATCGACGCTCTTCCTCGCCCACGCCTTCCCAATCGACAGCGAAGAGTCCAACTCCTCTTAAACGCCGAACCATCACCGGCCGAGGGGGTTCTGGGTCACGAGCTGGTCAGCCAGCAGAGAGCGGAGGAGCGGCAAAGTCCATGGTTGTGCCGCACGCGTCTACGCTCCCCTATCTCACAAACTTCACAAACACCTGCGCACTGACTCGGGACGCGTTCGTGAGTTGGGGCTGGGGTCCGTGCTCATCCAGGCAGCGGATTCGCCGAAGGGGCTGTGCATGTATGGTCGAGAATGCATTTTGAATAAACTCGTAGCGGTAGTAGCAAGCAAGCAAGCAGCAGCGGTGACACGAGGGCGGTGGTGGGCAGCGGTGCTGCCGCTAGAAGCTGCTGCCTGCGCTGTGAGAAACGGGAGCCGCGCAGTGAATGGGATGGGAGGAAGAGATAAGCGATGATAATGAGGCCCTCCCGGCTCTGTTTATCTTTATTACCGAAGACGTCCGCTGTGATGTACGCCCCCTTACATAAACACGGCAGCCTTATTAAAGGCAAGGAGCTTCTTGTGCTTACCCCCCCCCCACACCAAGCCTCCCCCCCCCCCATAGCACCCCCACCCTCTTCTCCTCCAGTAAATCATTAAGACCTTGTGTTTATTTTCCTATTTCCATTTCATTTTAATTTTTCTGTAACCACATCTTGCCCAATGGATGCGAGCACTTTAAAAGTTCTCACGGGCCACGGGGCCGAGATGCGCGTGCACGCACGGTTGAAGACAGACGCAACGCGCATCGTCACGCGCACGTGTGGACGTGACGTGCGAGACACGATGGGACAGCGGGCGGCAATCAAAAGTAACAAGAAGAGCGATTTTTTTTATCGAATTCGGCTAAAACGACTCAATACTTGGGAGGGCCGCCAATGCGCGTGCCCGACGTCACGAAGCGGCCGCTTGAAGAGCCGCGGGGTTGCCGAGCTTCTGCGACAGGGAGGACCGATCCTGCGGTCACCAGCCGCACATGTCGCCGTCGAGAAATCGCCTCTTGTTTTCGCGTTGCGTTGTAATCCTTCACAGTGCCGAAGCAACAACAGCAGCCGCCATTCGTCCACTGAGCGGCGGTGATGTCACCACAGTGCTTGCGTCGCGCTCGATGCACTTTGAGGGTTTCACTGTGAAGCGTTGAAGGCTCGCCTGGTAGGAGGTCACGGGACAGACCCGGGGGTTATGGGTTATGGGATGACACGGCGCTTTATGCACAGAGAGACGCACGTAAATTCATCCGACCAAACATGCGGCACATTGTAAAATAAATATTCTCCGTTCGGCTTTAGTTCTGGAATATCTATGCAAATGACATTGTTGAGAACCTACGAATAGACTGTTTATATTATGTCCGGATTTACCAAAATGTGCACAAATCCTAGTGGTGGCACAGTGGTTAGCGCGCCGCACTCTGAACACTGCGATCTGGGGAATCAAATTTCTGGTCATGGCCAACATCAGTGGCAAGTGATATCTGAGTCCTGCCCCGCACTGACCAGCTTGGTGAAGTATGGTCGAAACACCTTCATGACCGAAACAATAAGAATAAGGCCCTCATCCAGCAGTAGATACGTTATTGAAATCAACAATGAGTGCATGAATGATAACGTTGATTGGCACGGTCTCTCGGCTCTTTTACGAGCCAGTGGTGTCCGGAAGCAGTGGTGAAATATACGACATTGCGATAGCAAGGGGCCCAGTTTTACCACAGGACCACCACGTTTGACCTCTGACGAACTAGCATTTGTTTTATCCACTCCAGAAGGATTGACAGGCTGGGTGACACCCTGGCCCAGATTTTTACTCGCGATTTTGTGCGGTAGGAGTCGAGCGTTGTTAACGACGGTGCCTGATAGCCCTGATACTGCAGTGATAATGCTGATTGTGTTCGTGGTCATAACTACAGTGATAACATGGATAATACAATTCCTGAAAGGAAACTATTCTAGTCAGAGCCAGCCCGATTAACGGTGATTGATTCAACAAGCCTGAATCTGCTGATGAGACACTATATATGAAATAACCGGTCCTGATCTTGACTTAAAGCTTTCGTGACTGCAGGAATTCATATTCTTTGGGTCTTTCGGTAAAGTCACGCAGATAGAACAATAAAATAATAAAAATGAAAATAGATTGAATTAAAAAGGAATACAATTTCATAATTAAACATTTATTAAATAATGAAAATGAAAATAAAGTGAATAAAAAAAAATATTCACTTTCCTTTCATTCTTATTTTTATAATTGTATTGTTCTATCTACGTGACTTTACCGAAAGACCCAACGAATATGAACCGGTCCAGAGTTTGCTTGTCTTGACACGATGTTGCTGAAATGGACTCCCAGAAGGCCGAGCGGCTGATGGGAGTGTGTAAGAAATGCTTTCGTTTTGTTTACATCGAGAGACGGAATGTGTGGAGATATATCGTGTGCTTATTTACTTTGTTATTTTAATTCTCCACGACGATGCTCATGATACGTTTGAGTTATAGTTTAGCAAACAGCACGGTCGGTGGACAATATCAGGCGCTGATGGCTGAGAGGGGGACCTCTACTGGCAGGTCCAATTAACCTCGCCACATTCGTCAACGATAGTTCCTAAATCCATCCTGCTACCGCTACTCCCTGCCCCCCAGCTAAGACCAGGCCTACCCTAACCCCTATCACTACCCCGATCACTATCACTACCCCAACCCCTATCACAACCCCAACCCCTATCACAACCCCAACCCCTATCACTACCCCAACCCCTATCACTACCCCAACCCCTATCACTACCCCAACCCCTATCACTACCCCGATCACTACCCCAACCCCTATCACTACCCCAACCCCTATCACTACTCCAACCCCTATCACTACCCCGATCACTACCCCAACCCCTATCACAACCCCAACCCCTATCACTCCTCCTACCCCAACCCCTCCTTATCCACTCCCGCGTGTTCTCCTGTCACCATAACTCCAACATCACTTTGAATAATAATAATAATACCAACCCCACTCACCTCGCGTACAAATTCCATAATTGCTTGTCGAGCGGCCCCTCTGAATTGGGGCCGCTCGATACAAATCGACACAATATGACAGGCGAGAATAATTTTTTTTTTCATGCCGGCGGGTGAGGCGAGGTTTTTTTTTTCCTGACGGCCGCCGCGCGTGTCCCCAGGCCGTTCGTGCTGCGGCCCCCGCTGATGGAGTGGATGCGCGTGGCGATGGCCCACGCGGGGCACCGGCGAGGCCTCACGGTGGACAGCGATGACGTGCGGCAGGCAGCGCGACTCTTCCTGCCCGGCGTCGACTGCGAGCCGCGCCTGCTCAAGTACGCGCGGTTAAACTCTGACAATATACCTGCTCTTATTCTTCGTACTTTGAGACTGGCAAAAAAGGTCCCATGATATAGCTAACCCCCCCCCCGCCCCCCGAGCTATAATTGCTCTGACACGTGCATTGGCCTTGTACTGTTCACCTTTTGCCGTTCTCCGGTCTGACACTGGTGGTGAGACTAGGCCATGAAGAAGGCTGCTGTCTCTGGTGTCGGCCAATCAGCTTCAAGGGCAATGCCCACGTAACAATATTATCAGAGCATGTTTTGCTTGCATGTTCACCACAAGTACTGTGTGTGGTTAATGCAGATAGGATTCCTTGCAAAAGGTATCTGTTTGGTGTTTGAACATCTTAACACCCGTTTTATTGCCAGAAAGGGTAAAATATATATTCTTATTGTTCATACTTCTTTCGCACCGTTCGTAGCCAACCGCGCTAATCGGAGGTGTCCGTGTGTGTCTGTGGTGTGCGCATATTGCTGCTTGCACGCGCACCTCCCTGTGCGTGCGTGCGTCAACGCAGGACGGACGACTGCTTCTGCGCCTGGCGCCGTCTCGACGCCCGGGCGGCCGAGGGCCGCTTCCTGCAGGACCTCGCGTTCCGGATGCTCAACTGCGGCCGCACGGACCTGGTGAAGCAGGCCATCGCCCTGCTGGGACCCGCCGGGGTCGACACGCTCAATGACCAGGTAGCTCGTTGCGGCCAAGGGGAACAGAGGGAGGAGATGGGTGCTCTAAGTGGAGCGCCCCGAACGCACGTTCACCTCGTTATCTCTGCAATGAATGTTGAGACTGGTGTTGGGCAGCCCGGGACACACAGCTGAGATTAGAGCTATTTAGCGTGCGGTATTCGATTCCAACAGAGGCGATTTTTTGTTTTTCATGCGGGCGAACGAATCGATTTTAATTGACGAGTCGACGTGTCGTTTTACATCTCTAGTGCGTCCGCGTGTGTGTTCGTCTTTGTGAAGGGCATGACCCCGCTGATGTACGCCTGCGCATGCGGGGACGAGGCCATGGTGCAGATGCTCATCGACGCCGGCGCGAGGCTGGACATGGAGGTGCTTGCTCGCACAGCGCGCACATTGTACACACCGTACACACGCTGCACACACTGCGTACACCGTGCAGACCAAGCCCCACCCACGCAGCACACTGCACAAGTCACAAATTTGGACCCTGACGCCTCACACTACGGCCTGCCACCCTTACGGATGACGTCACGGGATCTCTTGACGCCCACTGTGAAGCGGACGACGCGTGGCTCTTGTCTGGTCACTGCTCACCGCAGCATTGACCAGGGCGGCCGCCCAATTCGAAGCCGTGGGCATCGGCGACAAAGCGGCGAATGCACCGCCACCGCCTGGTCTGCAGGAGGTCGTGGCTACGATCCAGACCCTGACGCCCAGCTGTATATTCGGAGTTTGCGTGTCGTTCTCCCCATGGTTGCGGGGATTTTTCTCCGGGTCCTCTGGTTTTTCCGTCCACATTTAGCATCAATGCGCGTTCACAGATATTTGGCTGCTGCAAATTTCCACGTGATAAGCCACTTCGTTGAGCCATCACACGTGGTCAGGTCGCCTCTGAAAAAGAGCTATGTAGCTCAGCCGGGGTCTTGCTACCTGGTAAAATAAAAAAAAGAAATTGTTTGATGGTTTTTAATTGCGTGTTTGTGTTCACATCTCAGGTGCCGGGAGACCCCCACGTGCTCCCGTCCGTGCACCCGGGCACGAGGCACTGGACGGCGTTGTCATTCGCCACCCTGTACGGGCACCTCTCCATAGCCCAGGTAACATGAGGGGTCACGTGGCCGACCGGCCGGCGTCAAGTAAACGTTTGTGCCAGGCGACACCGCTGATTGAGTTGCAACCGCTAAGGATGCTTTGAATCTCCAAATGATGGGCCACTTTGTTGAGATATCATTTGTGGCCAGGTCGCTTCTGAAAAATAAGTGAATACCTCAGTGGGCTTTGCCTTGCACAATGGGGATGGTTTAATTTTATTTGTATGTGTTTGGGTGATTTATTTACCTTTCTTGAACTTTACACCACTGTCATGTTTTCGTATTGTTGTTATAACATGCTTACCCGCCCCTACTGGACATCTGTAAAAAAAAAGAGCTTCATAGCTCATCAGATTCCTCCAGTATAAATAAATATTTTGATTCTGAGTCAAGGGGCATAAACCATCACGCAAACTCCGGTCACTCTCGCAGCGGCTTTTGGCTAACCGTCATCTCAAAGACGGTCACCGCATCGCGCGCTTTCAGATGCGCTGCTGCAGCCGTCCGGAACATTCTTCCTTCTGCTATACGGAAGCCACTGGAGCAAGGCACTTTTAAATCTAAATTGAAAACTCGTTTCTTCAGAGCAGCTCTTTGTGTTTAGTTTGTTGTTCTTCCCCTGCACCTCCGATTACCATGGTTGCCTACATACGGTGCGAAAGAAGTTCAGCATGCAAACATACATACGTATCCCAGTCGGGGGCGAGCACCTCAGCCCATCGTCTCTTCCGCGGCCAACAAAAGTTGGGTTCGCTTCATGGGCAGCCTATGGGCAACGCTTGTAATTAATCACCGCTACGTTTTGTGCTGCGGTAGCTGCTGCTGGAGGCCGGTGCCAACGTGGAGGGGTCACTCAAGGACACGGACGATCCCAACTACGCCGAGACGCCCCTGCAGCTCGCGTCGGCCGCAGGTCGGTGGAGCGAGCGAGCGAGCGCGAGCCTCGCCCGTGTGCACGTCCACCTGTGACACGCTCGCTCTCTCGACACGCAAAGACAGTTACCCTACACGCGTGGCCTGCAACAGTCTGTTGGGGCAAGTGCTGTTGGCGTGCACCTATGAAGCCCGGCAAGGCACACGAGGGGGGGTGGGTGGCCAGCACCACGCCCGGCCGCCTTTGTCTCGCTCGTGCCGATGTTTACACACACACACGCGCACACAGCACGTGGAACTTATTCGAGGCCGAGTCGACCTGCACACGCGCCTCCCACGCACGCGCACCATCATCCATGTGAACACCTTTCTCATCCGCGCACCTCTCACGGCGGCGCATACCCTTGGCTGCCTCTCTCACATGGGCTCAATGAATGTACACAGTGTGGGAAAAAAAGTATTTGATCCCCTGCTGATTTTGTACGTTTGCCCACTGACAAAGAAATGATCAGTCTTTAATTTTAATGGTAGGTTTATTTGAACAGTGAGAGACAGAATAACAACGAGAGATGAGCTCGTCCGCTCATCTCTCGAGCGCGCGCCCTTTGCGTTTTGCACTCGCGCGTACGCGTGCGTCATCTACACGTGTACGCGCGAGATGAAAAACTCATTTATTAAGTACCGCTTTTTGCGTTTAGTTTGTTGTGCTTTCCCGCACCTCCGATTAGTACGGTTGGCTACGTACGTTGTGCCCGCGTCTGTCATGGACGTACACCTAGACAATCCGGCTGGATAGCAGATATGGACATGGGGTATCGTGCACCCTGGCCAAGAATGTAGCTCTGGCTGCTAGCGATTGTAGAGCTGGGATTGGCGAACGACTGCTTCGCGTCTCTCTCTCTCGACACGTGCACACGCTCGCCCGCACTCCCTCGCCTGCACGCACGTCAAGCCGCCGCAAGAGACGCGTGAGAGCTCAAATACATCTGGGGCCCAACATCGGCACTTGCTTTGACTTTGCGGGGATTTTGCTTCCACGTCCCAGTGACGACGTCGCTATCTGCTCAACATCTGCAAACGTGCCTGGGCGAGTCCTTTCGTGAGTGGTTGGGTTTTCTTCTGTTCCCTGGTTCCCAGTACACACACACACACGCATGCCTTGTGGTATTCCTGTGGATCAATCATTGTCATGATCTTCCTGTGAGTTCTTGGATGTTTTTATCACGACCCAAGCAAGTTCGTCCAGTTTATCTCATCGACCACAACATAGCGGTTGCTTGATTGCGCTTGAAACAAACGTGCGTAGCCGCGCAGGGATACACCGCCGTGGCTTTATTAGAGTTGGCAACGTGCGCAGGATTTTTTGTTTTTGTTTTGAGCCGTGATGCGAAGCGCGCGTGTCTGTGTGTGTACGGGGAGCGGTGGTGCAGCGGTTAGCACGCTGAGCTACGAACCCGGTGCCTCCCGGGTTGGCAATGTAAAATATGTGAAATGTGTGTGTGTATGTGAAATGTGTGTGTATGTGAAATGTGTGTGTGTATGTGAAATGTATGTATGTGAAATGTGTGTGTATGTGAAATGTGTGTATGTCAAATGTGTGTGTGTATGTGAAATGTGTGTGTGAAATGTGTGTGTGTGAAATGTGTGTGTGTATGTATGTTTTGGAGGAGCAGTAGTGGCGGGGTTAGCGTGCTGCGCTATGAACCCGGCGTCCCAAGTTCGATTCCCGCTCACGGCCAACACCGGTGACCATTACTTGAACCAGTCCTGGGCCTCCCCTAGGTGGACTCAGCGTCGAATGAGCACCTGGTGCGTTGTGTAAAAACATCGCCACTGGGGAGAGAAAGGCGGTCGGGCCTGGTGTTGGCCACCCACCCCCCCTCATGTACCATCACGACCTTCATAGGTGCTCGCTAACAGCGCTTGTTAATTCTAGATTTAAAGCTTCCGTGACTGCTAGGATCCATATTGGGTAAAGTCACGTAGGTGAAAATAAATTGTTATTTTATTTTCACCTACGTGACTTTACCCAATAGAACCAAAGAGTATAGCGCTTGTTAAGGCTACACGGGGGGGGGGATGTTTGTCTTTCTTTGTACGTCGCCAGGTAATTACGAGCTGGTGAGCCTCCTGCTGGCGAAGGGAGCCAACGCGCTCGTGAGTACGGTACAACGCAACGGCATCGCTGCCGCCACTCCAGGGGACATGAACTCCTTCAGCCAGGCAGCGTCACATGGGCACAGGTGAGACTGGGCGCGAGTGAGGGCAGGAGGCCATGCGCTAAATGTAGGCGAGACCGCGAGCTCCACTGCAGCACTCCGGACTGCGTACGTTTTCGCGGTTGTTTTGAATAGCTGCTCCCGATGTGTTTTTAGATTGTACTGCGCGTTGGTCGGCATCAAATTCTCACGCGTCATTCTGCAGTAACACGCCCCCGTGCCACTGCTCTGCAGTAACACGCCCCCGTGCTACTGTTCCGCACTCATTGAGCATGAGTTGAGTTAGTGAGTTTGCTTATGAACAAGAATGTCTTTGTACGGTCATGTCCTACGACTGGGTGAGGCCGATGAAAATTGAATTGGAAGACCAAAGACGAAATCTGAATAGCTTCTAAGTATTTTCGACTGGAACTTCCAAATATGGTGCATCCAGAGCAACCATGTATGGGTGTATTTTGTTCGAATAATTAATATTAAGTTGTCTGAGAACACAGAGCGTTTCTGCACTCACAGGTGCAAAGTGTCACTTCAATAAATGTGTTTTTTCTTGAAAAATAACACAAGCCTGAGAACCATTCTCATACATTCCAGCTTTTGGCCTATAACAATGGCCGCTTGTGAAAGGCATCCCAAGGACAGAATGTAAAGAACAACTCTGGTGCTGCGATGAAACTCTTTCTGCTGTGCAAACCTCAGCACACGCGCGCACAACACGTACAACACACGCCGTGTACGTTTAAAACAGCCAATTGACCACGACGTCGAACGTGCGGCCGGCCGACCGTGGCCGATGCCGCCACCGGCTGCCATTTCAGGAACGTCCTGCGCAAGCTGCTGTCTCAGCCCGAGAAGAAGCAGGAGGACGTGCTGTCGCTGGAGGAGATCCTCGCCGAGGGCGCGGGCGGCCCCGGGGGTTTTGGCGTGGGGGTCTCGGCGGAGGGTCAGGGCGGACGGGTGAGGGTCAGGGCCCTGCAGGAGGCCATGTACCACAGCGCCGAGCATGGACACCTGGACGTCACCATGGAGCTGCGCGGCAAGGGTAAGGATCATCCTTGTAGCTGTGGCGGCCCCGTGCCTGGTGTGTCTGTGACTGTGTGTGTGCGTGCTCACTAGCGGTGTGTGAACATCGCCACTGGGGAGACAGAGGCGGTCGGACGTGGTGTTGTCCACCCACCCCCCCCCCTCGCGCACCGTGCCGGCCTTCATTGGTGCTCGCTAACAGCACTTGCCCCAACGTTCTGTTAAGGCTACACGGGGGATCTTTGTCTATGCTCACTAACGGTGCCGCTTGCCCCAAGTGTCCGTTGAGGCCTTACGGGGGGGGCGGGGGGGGGGGGGTGCGGGGGGGTGGATCTTGTGCGCGCCGTTTCATTCCGTGGCGTGTGCGGGGTGTCTCCGTGCCGCCGGGTGCCACGTGTGCAGACGTGCCGTGGACGCTGCACGTGTGGCTGGAGTCGCTGCACACGTCGTGCGTGCAGTCGCGCTCGGCGGCGACGGTGGCGCTGCTCGACGAGTTTGCGAGCGTGCGCGCCGGCGGCGTCCACTTCACGGAGCTCATGCTGGCACGCGGGCTGCCCCTGCTCTTCGACATGCTGCGAGGCCAGCAGGTAATGGGCTTGGGGGGGGGGTCGTCGGTTAACCTCAGTTCACCAACTCGCTCGTGTGTGTGTGTGTGTGTGTACAGGGTGCTTCAATGGGAAATGAACGGATACTACACCGTAACACGATGGCAAATGTAATGTTGATCGCTTGAAAAAGTCGAAGAGTCTCCCACTTGTTCTTAGTTTTTTCGGTAAAGTCACGTTGAAGAGAAACAACAAAATAACAAAATATATATAAAACAATAAAAAATTCTCACGACGTTTCGACCATAACTCAAACGGTCATCATCAGGTGTGTCGGTTTGCATAAATTTATTTGGAAAACGGCATATTTATTTATATATATAAAAATAACGTTTGCGTCACGCGCAACGATTGGCAGTTTGCCCAGGACTAGTCCATCTATTTTTTTTAAAGAGGAGGGGGGAGACGAAATTTGTTTTTATGTATGCTGTCTGAAAGCCACTGTAAGCGTGAACAATCAATCAAGAACTGAAATGATTTATCAAATCTTTCCAATGATTGCTAAGATAGAATCCATCTTCTCGGTTGAAATTGTCTCTGTGTTTGTATATGTGGATAGCCTCATGAACGAATCTCTCATGGAAGCCAGATGGCTTACAAAAAACCTCCGTCTTGGAGAAGTCAATGTCATGTGAGCCTACTGAATTATAACAATGATCTGCTACGGCCGAGGTGTTGGTCCTACCGTGTTTAAGGTCTGCTTTATGTTCACGAATGCGGTCCGAGATATGGCGTTTGGTTTCTCCAATGTAACTACTACCACAGAGGCAACTTAGTTTGTAGACACCAGGGTATTGTAGTTCTTGATTGATTGTTCACGCTTACAGTGGCTTTCAGACAGCATACATAAAAACAAATTTCGTCTCCCCCCTCCTCTTTTCAAAAAATAGATGGACTAGTCCTGGGCAAACTGCCAATCGTTGCGCGTGACGCAAACGTTATTTTTTTATATATAAATAAATAAATATGCCGTTTTCAAAATAAATTTATGCAAACCGACACACCTGATGATGACCGTTTGAGTTATGGTCGAAACGTCGTGAGAATTTTTTATTGTTTTATATATATTTTGTTATTTTGTTGTTTCTCTTCAACGTGACTTTACCGAAAAAACTAAGAATATGAATTACTGCAGTCACGAAAGCTTTAAATCAAAATTTAGTCTCCCACTTGTTCGCCATCGTTGTCAGCTCGTGCCTGGAATCGTCTCCAGGTGGTCTCCAGAGCCGGGAGGCCACATTTCTTGTGGTATTGTTGCAAATTCTCTGAAGCGTTCACCGTTTTTTTGAAGCACCCTGTATATAAGTGACCGTGTGATGATGATTTGTGGCTGGCCGCGGTGAGGTTTCAAGTTCAGGGTAATATTTCGTTTTACCGGTTGAGAACTCAAGAGAACGGGACTGGGCCTCATCTGCAAAGGGAGTGACCTGGCGAGACTTTGCGGGAGGTTGGGCGGTTGTGAGCCGGAGAGAGGGGCCTAAAAATGGCCGCGGCAATGGCTTGAGATGCGATGGGCTGATGTGGTACGGGCGGATTTGGAGCTGATTGGACTTACCGACAACTGGAACCTCCTGCTGAGGAGGCTCGTAAAAATATGCTGCTGGGCAGTTTGAGGGCGCAGCTCCCAAGCATTAAAGGAAGGTGGAGGAGTGATTGGACTTATCGACAACTGGAACCTTCTGTAGAGGAGGCTCGTAAAAAGATGCTGCTGGGCAGTTTGAGGGCGCAGCTCCCCAGCATTAAACGAGGGTGGAGGAATGATGCAGAGTGTCGGGCGGCCTAAAACACGGCAAGTTGGCGCAGTGGGGAGCACAGGTGGTGCATCTGCCAGTCATTTATATCAGTTAACGCATAACACATGGGTCTGTCCTGTGATCCACTGCCAGCGAACCTTCCATTTGATGAGGCCTCAAAGTGAACATAGCCTGGAACAAGCATCGTGGTGACATCACCACCACGCAGTGGTGCATGGCAATAATTGTTGTTGTTAACCTGGGTTTGTTAACCAGAGTATGCTAATTTTCGGCACAATCGTTTGTGAAGACTGTCCTTATTTCACTTTGCCCAAGAATCTGCGAGAGGTTGTGTCACAATTGAGTGTTATGCATTGTATAAAGTTGCTTGCTTAAGGAACGCTAAAGTAACACACGATAAGCATGCAACCCAGTTTCACATCAGTGCAGACTGTGATGCCAATTGTAATTACCACGGAGTGTTCTTATGGTGTACTTCACAGCACACACGTATGTTTATGAATGAACTTGTTTGTGTACAACAGGGGGTGCGTAACCTGTTCCCTACTTAGGGCTGAATAGAACTTTCAAATACCTTTGGCAAGGCCACACGTGAATTCACACACACACACACTTACCTCAGTCACTTCTGGCAATGCAGTGACATAAGTGACTGAGCGCGACGTGGAAATTAGCAACACGTCATTACCCGGTCAAAATTATTCCCCACCCCCCCCTCTCAGTAACCCAGTTCCTCCAGCTAAAGGCGCTCGCAGCGATGGTTAAATATCGTTTGCACGCCGTTTCGAAGTGGTAGGCCTCGCGTGGCCGTGTGGCATGGGGGTTGCCGTGTGGCATGGGGGTTGCCGTGTGGCATGGGGTCGCCTGCCAGGCACAGGCCGGAGGCTGCCTCTCACCTGGCGCGGTTATGATCATTTCTGCGCTCGTAAAAACGCGTGTGCTAATTTTTCTGCGTGGCTTTTGCGCCTGCCCGTTGTGTGCGCGCGCGCGTGTGTGTGAACCACCAGAACGAGGCGATCACACAGAGAGTCGCCGACATCCTCAGCCAGTGCTACGGACCGCAGCCTGTGCCCAAGATCCCCGAGGACCACACCCCGTTGGGGGCTCGGCTCGGTACGTACGCGTGCGTGTACGTGTGTGCGTTGAACTTCTTTCGCGGTATGGTATAGCTGTTAGCGCGCTGCCCTACTGACCTGGCGACCCGGATTCGATTCACCGTTCACGGCCAACACCGGTGACGATTATAATCTGAACCAGTCCTGGGCTTCCCCGAGGTCGTCTCAGCCGTGAATGAGCACCTGGTACGGTTGTGTAAACATCGCCAATGGGGAGACAAAGGTGGCCGGGCGTGGTGCTGGCAATGTATACAAACCGTTTTACTTTCTGGAGCCCAGTCCTAGAACGTGAGACTGCTACAAGAACACCTCGCTATTTTTGTCACCTATGACGTCGGGTTCAAAGTTTTGTACACCACTCATTCTGCATAAACCGTTGCGATATTCCGGTCCACTGATGAATAATCTCGAGATGTACAAACTCATACGCAACTGAATTTGAATGCAGAGCGACTTGGGGATCCCGGTACTTTTAGTTCACAAAGACTGAAACGAGTGGGGGCTACTCATTCTCACGACGAAGCATTGGCGCTTGTTTATTGGACGTTGCTCGTGTGTGTAAATTAATCAGTGAGTAAAGCCTCACTGATTCTCAAGACTCATTCTCAAAAGAGGGCCCTGCATTGGTGATGTTTGGGCCGTTACCGTCAGTTGATTTGTTTGGCCCTCGCGTCGGAGCCCAAAAAAAACCCAGAGAGCCCGGAGAAAATCCACCATGTGGACGAGGCAGGGGGAGGGGGGGGGGGGCAATGCTCAACACTGCCATCTGCTGGCCGGAGCCCACATCGGTGTCGGAATCTTCGCGGTTCGGCTGACGCCACTTAACCGACACCCACTCTCCCGCTGCAACCCGTGGGCGCTCGCAGACCCGCACTTCGTCAACAATCGGGAGATGTCGGACGTGACGTTCATAGCCGAGGGCCGCCCTCTCTACGCCCACAAGGTGCTGCTTGTGACCGCCTCGCCACGGTAAGACACCCGCCTCTGCACGAGGTCGCGCAACGTCCGCCCAGTCGTGCACCTCGCGTTCATTCTGCCTGGGAGGCCAAGCACCTGCGAACTGCTGTGCCTGACTTTTCTCACGATGAGACAGTAAACAAATGATAAAAGCGACGTGCTGCACATTTCATACCCACAACCTCGTGCCGCGTCTGTCGTACAGATTCAAGGCTCTGTTGACCGGCGGGGGCTCTTCTGTGGATCAGTGTCGGAGCATTGAGATCGGGGAAATTAAATACCACATCCTCGAGGTGGGTCAGCAGTCACGTGTTGTTATGTGCGCATGTAATTGTACAAGTATGTATGCATTGAGGGTACAAAGTCTGGGATTTCACGAAAAGCTTCAGGACACCTGGACAGATTTTTATGGAACCGTTTGGACTCTGCGGGCCAAACCTGGACTGCCCTACGTGCAGACACAGCTTGGATCGTTACCAACAAGAAAATCACTCCAAAATGCTCTAGAGGAGTCGTACAACCATAACTGCCACTGCTATCCGATGGCCTGAAATCAAAAATATAGTTATAGTTGACCGATGTATTAAATTATCATGTATTTTGATTATAGTGCGCTGCTACTGCTATTGTTAATCTGGCTGTTATGGATTGACTTATGCAGTTAGCGAAGGACGCTAGGTTTAGTGATGTGTGTTGTGTGTTTTGCTATTGTAAACTTTTAATCACATTTGTTGGGAAAACTGTTACGTTGTTAATATAGCATTGTTTTAGTAAGTTTTAGACGGGCTTGGTTTGGCCCGATTTTTTTTATGTAGTATAGATTTATACTTAATTTTTTTTATCTTTATTATATTATGATTGTTATTGGGATCAAACATCGAAATGGAATTTTTTGCACTTTTTGTACGCAGCATGGACGTGTTGTGCTTTTTCTGTAGGATTTTATTGTTTACGTGACGTGGTGATGTTTAGATTTGTGTACAACGAATTTTATTGTTTGTTGCGGTTGAACCCAAATCAAGAGCCGAATGGCTCACAGGGTAAATCCTAATAAATGAAAAAGGGCTAAGCAAAATATGTGAGTAGCGCATTCACGATAGCGCTATTAAAGTGAACAAGGTAGCAAAGTTTCGATTTAAAGCTTTCGTGACTGCAAGGATTCATCTTCTTTGGTTCTTTCGGTAAAGTCACGCAGAATGAGAATAAAATAATAAATTGATAAAATAAAATAACACAAAATTCTCGCGCTGTCCTCGAGACAGTCTCGTCCCTTCACCTGATGAAGGCCGCTTGCGTTGTGGCCGAAACGTCGTGAGAATTTTATTGTGTTATTTTATTTGATCAATTTATTATTTTATTCTCATTCTACGTGGTGACTTTACCGAAAGAACCAAAGAAGGTAGCAAAGGTGACGGTGCCACCCTGCAATTGCTCGCGCCACCGCTGGCAGAAGGACCCTCCACTAGAGACAAAGATAAAAATATATAAATGTAATCTTACACAATGCGCTCTGTTTTGTTTCACAGCTCTTAATGCGGTACGTGTATTACGGTGGCGTGGAGGAGGTCAAAATAGCAGACGAAGACATCTTGGAGGTAAGAAAAGGAGAGCACAACTGGATCATTTACAGCGTGGCCCATGCCACCCATCGTGTGCATACGTCATTGTATGTGTGTGCGTGCAGTTTTGTGATAATATTGCTGTACAAAGGATACAAATGCGCAACTATCAGTTGTGTATAATAAACGCCGATGTTGAAATATAATACGGTAGTGATGGCCGAGTTTAAGAAATCTGTTTAGATTCTTAATTGTGAGTATTAAGCCAGTAACTCCACTGGAAAGGGATTGGATGGGGCTTAGAAAATAATGCCATAAAACAATAATAGTAATTCACGAACCTTTCATCAAGCCACTGGCAGATGAAAACCTCCTTATGCCATGTCAGACGTGGGGGTTGTTCGGCCATACTTCTCCACACTGGTCAGCTGGCCAGTGCAGGTTGGTGAAGGAGGGGGAGCATACAAGTCCTAGTAGACAGTGGATTTTGATAATTCCCTTCCTGCTCGTGGCCAACATCAGTGACGGATATCTGATCCAGTCCTGGCCCTCCCCTCGGTGCGCACCACTCCACCCTCTCGTATGCCGTGCCGGTTTTCACAGGCGCTCGCTTAACCGCACTTGCCCAATAGTCTGTTAAAGACCATACAGGGGGATCTTTGTTTTTGTACGATTGTACGTTGGTCGCCTTTTCATCGTGACAACGTGTGCCACGAGGAAGTGATTTGAGAAAGCGAGTGTTGGCGACGGCATCGTTGTCGTCATCGATCTTGACGACCTCTTGACCTCCGCGCCTGTGTACCCGTTTGCGCGCGTGTCGCAGCTCATGTCGGCCGCCAGCTTCTTCCAGCTCGACGCCCTGCAGCTCCACTGTGAGCAACTCTGCTCCCGCGCCATCTCCTACAGCAACGCTGCGGGCCTTTACCGTCACGCCAAGGCACGCGCAACCACATAAGGGGAAACAAAAAGATGAAGGAAGATCCCCCGTTGTAGTCGTAATAGATTGTTGGGGCGAGTGCTGTTAGCGAGCGCCTATGAAGGTCGGCACGGCACATGAGAGTGGGTGGGCAGCCTAGCGCCACGCCCGGCTGCCTTTGTCTACCCAGTGGCGATGTTTTTACACACCGCGCTAGGTACTACTCCTTTGAGGCTGAGTCCACCTAGGGTGGGCCCAGGACCGGTTCAGATAATCGTCACTGGTGTTGGCCATGAGTCAAACTCGGGTCACTAGGTTCGTAGTGCAGCGCGCTAACCTGCTACACTACCACTCCGCACATAATGAAATCAGGCTCAACAACTAAAACATCGCCACCACCAGCCACGATGGAAGCCGTTCGGCACGAGGTCCGACGTTTTGCACCGGGCCCCAGAAACTTCGTCCGTTCCTGTCCCTCCAACAGAAGGTTCTCGGCGAAGCTCCCAGCGCGTGGGGTGAAACGTCGAACGACGTGCCCAACGACGCTCAGTACGGCACAAACACAAAAAACCCAAACGGCAGTATAATCGAAAGTGCGATACTATTATTAACGCCGCTGCTGCTGATGGTGCTGCTGATACTGCTGCTGATGCTGCTGCTGATACTGCTGCTGCTGCTGCTGCTCATGCTGCTGCTACTCATGTTGCTGCTGCTCATGATGCTGCTGCTGTTGCTACTGCTACTGATGTTGCTGCTGATGCTGCCGCTGATTCTACTGCCGCTGCCGATGCTGTCACGGTTGCAGAAGGTGGGCGCCGGTCAGTTGGCTGTGTTCTGCGAGGGATACTTCCTCAAGCACATGCCATCGCTGCTGTCCGGCGAGGATGCCTTCCGGGCGCTGGTGCTGGGCCGCGGAGGCCGGGGAGGCCGGGCAGGGAGAGCGGGGCGAGTGGGGTCCAGCGGGGTGGGCGGGGGAGCTGGGGGAGGAGGAGGGGTGCTCGCTGCACTGCACGCTACCCTCGCCGCTCGTATGCTGCAGCAGCAGCAGCATGGACGCAAGTGAGCGATTGGTGGATATTTATTCAGAAGCGGACTGCACAAGACGGAGAAGGGGGGGGAAGGGAATGTGTCTGAGAGGCCGTCCACCTGCACACGAGCTCGTTTCAGATGGAGCGCAGCTACTGGATGGATCTTTACATCTCACAATCCTGAGAGATGGGGACGTCTTGGTCGAGAGGGAGGGGTGAACTTCATCCAGCAGTGAGTGGATCACAGCCGACGACGATGATGAAAATCATCATCATTATGATGGACTAAATAATGGAGGAGCTTCTTGTTTGATGCTTGGACAACAGATTGTGTGGTTTATGCACGGCTGAAATGTATTGATAAGTCTGTGCTGTGGAAAACGAAATGGACATTTTGTTGGGACGGGCAGCACTGTTAATATTATACCTTTGCACACAATTGCGTGCATGCTCTGCTCTGCGGACAGCTATTCCAGGTTCACCGAGTAAACAGACATTCGGTGAGTTGGATGGCTAAGTGAAAAGGTAAGGGCGCAGCCCTGCAAGTGTCAAACACAACTGGTGGTGGAAGGGCCTCCCCAAGAAGGAGCTCTGCAGAGCCCATGTATTTGGCCGACTCTTCCTTGCCGGCCAGACGACCTGGAAGACGTGTCAGTCTTCACGCTTTACCCAACAGCACGCGACCTGCCGATCGACGAAGTGAACACTTCGTTTGAATTATCTGCGCTGGTCAGAGTAACGGTGAAATGGTAAGGTGGTGAACATTTCAAATGAAAGGTTTGAAAGTGTGCTGCGCGGCTTGATTGATAGTCGTACAGAGAGCTTGCTGAATGGACAGCTAACGTTACCAGTCCGCGATGTGGACCATTCATAGCGTGCGGCCATGAAGTACAATTAATGAGGCAGCTAATTAAACGCATTAGGTGATGGAAGTGAAAGATGACAAGGGGCAGTTTAAAAGGCGGCTTCGAGAATGATTTGTCACAAGTGCACAAAGACAAAAGCACACAACAGTGAAATGCCTGTGGCGGAGCACTGAGCCAGCACACTCTTTACCAAGCAACAAATGTGTACAAAGCGCACAGCTGCTGTGCATATGAAAAAAAAAAACTCTTGAGAGTTTCCTCAAGAAGTGCATTGTGGCCCTCTTTGTCTTAGGGCACCGTCAAAATAAATGTGCGCAAATGTAACCGGCTTAGAGCAGCAGTGGTAAAGTGATAGTCAACCCTCAACCGGTCCCGTCCTTACTCGGACTCGTCAGCACAATAGTCTGCCTCCACTCTTACCAGACGCAACTCCCGAAATTGACCTCCCTGCTTCTTTCGATACAGAATTCAACACATCCGTCAATAATATTGCCCTAACAGGAAAAAAATATATATGTATCTAGCAGGCGACATTTTGGGGAATAGCCCTTCATATCGAGAAGCCCGAGAAATTGAGTCAATAATAGTTGATAACTGCCCCATACACCATGGTGCCCTGCTAAAAATGTTATTACAAAAAATAAATCCAGGTTTTACTAGAAATCCGTTGTCTTGGTAAAGGACCACATAACTGAACTGATATAATTGGCGTTTTCTCTCTCATCTGTGTCCAATTCCAACCTGCTACACTACTGGAGGGTCCTGGTTTAATAATTGTTTTACCAACACGGATTTGAACACTCGGATTTTCATCAGTGCCGACTCAGTGCTCTGGAAATAGCATGTCTTCTGAGCCACATGGACACTTCAAAGATAGACTCCATGGAAATGTAATAATTTTAGAATTAGTGCATTGATTTATGAGCTGGTATTATTTAACAAAAAACATTTTCATGCAAATGGTTGCTAAATTAAATGTCAGCTAATGGAATTCCTCGAATATCAAAAACCTTTTATACGTTTTCACTGCCCATATTACAAATGTTGCTATTTTCCTGTTCCTGTTTTTTTTACTATTTGTTTTTCGTTATGTTTATTAAGGTACTGAGGAAAAACGTGTAACTTTATTTAGAATTGCCAACAGACAGCAGAGCATTAACGTCACAGATTTTGATCCAATGTCCTTAAATGTTTAACACGTAGGCTTTCGCGACCAATATTATCCATAAAAGCTTTTCCTGGGTTAGATTGCGTAAGTATAAATGTCGTAATTACCGGCGAAACATCGTACTTGAATTGTAAATGTGGGTTTACTCTCAAACACACCGGTATGCTGAACTAGTAATGAATTGCCATGTTTGGTTACGTGACAAACCTTACTAAATGGCTGTGTCGGGTGGTGGCGGGTTTAATGACACATTTATATTTATGCGATTTAACCCAAAAAAAACCTATGGTGCTTAAATGGTCTGTCTTGCTGAGGATTGCAATGTGGTGCTCAACGTTGTGCAGATAAGTTAATAGTTTTATATTTATCCACGGGCCATTTTAAAACTTGATAGGTAGGCCTGAATATATTAAGTGCAATTACTCCTGTATGTGATGAATGTTGGTGCAGTCGATTGGTGACCAACCAGGCTGAGCCTTCAAGAGACGCTGGCTGAGTGTGCCCTGACATGGGAATTCGTTTTCTTTCACTCAGCAACAGTGCTCAAACCCAGGATCTCAAAAATGCTTGCTCAGTGTACTAACATTGACATCGGCCTTCTTGAGTCCACCAGCCACAAGGTTTGAACCCAGGACCTAATTCACTGCTTTTCCACTGGTACATCTGAGCCTAGCCAGAGCGATGCTCTCCCAATACAGGTCGTTTTCAACTGGCTCTTTGCCATGCCAAGCCAGCGCCAACCCGTGATAGGCTAGCCCTCACAAGAAATATGAATCGAGCTTAGGGCCTAGCAGGGTCGAGCGCGGTGCATAATGACAAGTTGCATGTGTGTGACATCAGCAGCGAGGCTCGGGTTATGCAGTCGAAAAACCAGCTGGCGCTTCCTGGACCAGCGCTGGGTTGGCTCGGCACGGCTCAGTTCTAGTGTAAAATTTTTTTTATCAGAGGTATGGATGGGTTCGGGCCCTGCGATGAAAACCCGGACAGCTTATGTATACTTCAACAGCTGTAGCAAAACCAACAAAAATAATCGATTGTTTTATTTTACCATTGTTGTACACAAGGACAACTTTTTTGAAAACATGTAAAATTTATTGCATTTAAATTTCTAGTTGTCAAAAGTGCAGTCGTCACATTTGCCCAGAGGTCCCTCTCTTTATGTTTGCCAATCATTGACCTTCGGAGGTTGGTAAACATGGTGAGATGCAATGCGAGTGCAGTGGGAGAGCAGATTGGCATTTGAGATGCCTCCAAGAGCTGCAATTCCACGACCAACATTTGTATGGGGAACTGATTTAGGTTGGGCCTTGCTTTTTGAAACACCAACCCGTTCTCAACTAATAACTTTCGTGTCCCCCGTTCTCCTCCAATGTGACGTCACCCCCTCCGCTTTGCCCCCAATGTCTCCTAATCCCCTTCTTAGCCCCCTACCCCTGTGGTCTAGTGACCAACCCAACAAGGAAGGAATGAGTGTGCTTTCACTGGGTAGGAATCGAGGCAACGGTAGAAGGAAAGGTTGATGTTACGAAAGTAAATAAAACAAACCATGTACAGTATTTTTAAAAAAAATTAAGCAGTTTAATGTAACAAAAATGGTGTTGTTTAAAATAAAAAAACACGTTTTGTTTATTTCGTAACTTTTTCCTCCATGATGTTTATTTAAAAAAAAAAGGTTTGCTCAGCAAGGGAGGTGAGGATGTGGCCTGAAGACTCCAGTCCTCATCCGGCATGGCATCGTTGCCTTTTCTCTGAGATTGCAAATGGATTTTTTTTGCCGACAAAGCTTTAAGGCATTTATGGGCATCAGACAAACTAATCTACAACCAAATAACCCAGAAAGCACTGTTTTAAAAAAAGGGGCTGTAGCCTTTCGAGTGCTTGAATGGGTAACCGCAGGGCGCCACGTTGGTGAGATGTTACCTCGCCTGGTATGCAGGTAGTGGGTTCGATCCCGACGCCTGTATATTTGGAGTTTGCATGTTCTCCCCATGGACACCTGGATTTTTCTGTGGGCCCTCCGGTTTTTACCTCCACATTTATAAACATTCGTTTTAGAGTATTTGGCTGCAATACATTTCCACATTAAGCCACATCGTTGAGCAATCAGTTGTGGCCAGGTCGCTTCTGAAAAATAACTATAAAGCTCAGTGAGTTTTACCTGGCTAAAAATTATAAATTAAAAGTTTAGGTTAGCATACCATGTGCTGCTTGCGGAAGTCCTGCAAGATGGCCAGGTGAAGACAGTACAATCATCGTGGTCCACTGGTAGATTGAATCTCTTGGGTCTACCTGTGCATTTAATGTGTGGAGCTTTGAGTGTTATCCCATCATATGCAAGGGCCAAGGCGGAAATCGGTATCACCTGAGGCAGAACGACTTTAGTCATACAGTTTCGTTTCTTTGTCTAATAGTTCATTATTTGAAAACCACACTCATATCTAATGATTATCACGTAATTGACTGTTGTCCACATAAAGACATTGAAACTGCGAAAGTGGTGCCACCTTGGATGGTAGTGACAAGTGAAAGATTTGTGCTGCGCTCATGGGCTATGGGAGCTGAAGGATTTTCAGGGATCGGCCAATGTCCAAGGCGCATCTTGATCATCGTTAACAGAGTCCACATTGGCCAGGATCTGAAAGAATTGAACCTGCTAAAAACTATTTTAGTTTCCGATGCCGGATCAAATTACTTTCGGGATATGAGAACATAGACAACTTATAAAACCTCTGGGGAAGGCGACTTGATCATAACATGCATACTTTGAAGTTGATGAAAGCAGGGTTAGGTGATGGTAACTTTACTGAAAAGAAAACAATCGCGATGGGCTTAAAAATAACCAAAACGAAGACCTAAAGCCAGTTGGTGAGACACTGTAAGAGCCATCTTTGGAGAATCAGGCGTTGACTGTACAATATTTTGTGGATCTGACAAGTTTTAGGTCAGTGTCGTAGTATTCAGTGGCATCGGCCATGGTGACCTTGAGTGTTAAGATGATGGTTATGACAACGAATATGGTTAGCAGCAGGGTTTTGAGTAGAATTAGCACTAGCATTTGCACATCGGCTCAATTGAGTGATAAAATAATGATCAGGCCAAACCCGTTTTTCACTTTTAAACTACTATATTTTATTAATACTTAGAACTTGACAAGAGTACACATTTCTATTTCAGACTTAAATCAGTAAACGTATATGTAGTTAAAACAAGGCCACGTTGCTTGATGGTACTTCAAAAGAAATATATTGTGCAGGTGTGTTGGATCGATATACAACTCATAGATCACAAAATGCATCACGAGAACACAGTGTAACACAGTGTAACACAATTGTGGACAGGCATCATCAAGATGCCAGGCAATGTGTCGTGGGCATAGAGAACTTGATCAATAACAAGTGATGACAGAAAGTTAATTAGGCTGACTTCAATTGAATATTACAATATTGTTATCCCAGAAATGATCACCTTGCATTATTCTCCAGGCATTGTTTTTAGCATATACGTGCATTTTACAATTCAAGGGCAAACCAGCTGTATTTTACATATATATCCCATCCATCTTCGCTCCCAGAATTTGGAATCACCGCGATTCTGTTGCATTTGAAACATCGCCTTTTAAAAATGCATTTTAGGTGGGGTCCATAAATTTATATGCTCAACACTCCACAAGTGTATTTTTTTACGTATGAATGCATTAGTGTTAAATTACTCAACAAAATTAGGTTAAGATGTGTGCACCTGCTTAATAAGCCACTTTGTTTTCATTGTGCACGGCAGATGTTAAATATTTCTGAAGGAAATTTTCTCTCATTAAGAATCATAAACCAGACAAAACAAGGCAGCCTCAGTTTAAAAGGCAATTTAAAAAAAACTTCGATTTGAGGTTTGGATATAATGTGCCGATGATCCTGCAATAAGAATGAAACTGGCGCATGGTTTCAATGTTGGATAGCTGGGATATAATTCAAAATGTAAACGGGCAGTTAATTATACCCCAAAGGCTACATATCAATAAGTCACAGGTGCATAGGTCAACATTAAAGCACTTTTTTTTTGCATTTAGCATCTTAATTCCATCTGCACCGTTTGGTGAGTCTGGGCAAAATCGTAATTCCCGATTCCTCTGAAAGCAGCAGAGGTGCTGTATGTGACGTCGGAGAACAACCCTGGAAGAGCCATCATTGACTTTCTCCTCCTGCAGGGGGTCCACCTACATATTAGCCTGCACCGTCTTCACCTATGCTGATGGATTATTTGTTCTGTGTGTATCTGCCAAATACTGTAAACGCTTTCAGGGTGAACCTTGATCAATGTTAACTGTATAAGATGGCAATACCACAAGTCTTTTAACATATATTTGTATGAGAAGAACCAAGAATTCAATCTACGTTTTCCAAACGGCTTGAAGCCAGAATGTCAAGAGGTGGTGGCTCAGTACCTATAGATACAATAATTGGAAAGACACCCAGAGGGAGAGGGTTTAAACCGAGTTGGTTCAGTGCTGTGTAACAAGGGCTGTCGTACCTATAAGAGTTCAAATGGCTACCAAGCCATTACATTTAATTCTGATCGTATTAGAGCCAGTACGAATTGTAGAATAAGTCGATTAATTGGCTTAAAGTTATAATCGAATAGTGTTTTGTGGTCGATTACTTGGACCCCCTTTAAAGATAGCACCACCTCGATATCCTGCTTCCTGAAGGCAGGAAACCCCCTACAAGGCCACATCCAGTGTGAAGAGACTGATGATGCCGATGACATCACCAAGCCTCGCCAATAACCTCCCGACCAGCGGCACAAATGGAAATAGAGGTGAGACTTTTTTCCAATAGGAGTAAATTAACCAATATATCGGAATAATGGTCAGTCACTTAAATAATCGGATAGCAAAGCTCTGAATATATTTCAGCCCTTTCTTCACCCAGAATTGGATAAAGACCTTGTTTGTATGCACGGGTTAGGTAAGGGGGGCGTAGGACCAGTTCAAACGTCGACCGCCACTGATGTTAACCATGGCCGGGAACTGAACTTATGACACTAGTTTAATTGCGCGTTGCGCTAGCCAATGTGCCACCGCTCCACCCCACGATGCCAATATGGGCCACGAAAGAAAGGAACCCATCCTCAAGAGTTTTAGCACAGAGACACCGAGTCCCCAGGCATGTCTATTATTCGTATTCGCCACTACAGGGGCACCCAGAATGCTTCAACCCAGAACTAAAGATGCCAATTCAATACCTATGACACCACTGGGGGGGGGGGGTGGGGTGTTCTCATTCTCTGGCGCCATCCCCACGACCACTGCCCTCATGAACCGGCCCGGGCACCAGTTCCCACTGAGGTGTCCGCTTCTCCACAAACGCCCTGATGCCCTCCTGGCCGTCGGGCAGCTGCAGATTATCGAGCATTGCGGCCTGTGCTAGCGCATACGCGGCGTCCCAGTCGCGGCTCATCTGGCCCAGGAAGGCTCGCTTGCCCAGCGCGAGCACGCTGCGGCTCAGGCGGCACACCGAGCGCGCCACGCGCTCCACCTCTCCGTCGAGACGTTCCACCGGCACCACGCGGCTCAGCAGCCCGTGCGCCAGGGCCTCGGACGCCGAGATGGGCTCGCCCGTCAGCAGCATCTCCATGGCCACCTGGGCGGAAACGAGTGTGTGCGCGGAAAGGTCGTAAGTGGGCGGCCGGCGTTATTTGCTTTTTCGTTTTTAGTTTCCCATGCACAGGGATGTCGCTAACACTATATAAGCTTGATGAATGGCAGTAGCATCCCACGGTATGCTACCGCCATCCATCATGCATATATAGTGGGTGTGCAATAACTGACGGGGATTTTTTTTTTGCGAATAAGCACAATTTTTTCGTTAATTAAAACATCGTAAAAAATATATCAGCCGCAAGGGATAGAGGAAGGATGCAGGTGTGAATGGGGAGTGTGCGGGGGTGGGAAAAGTGTGTGAATCAGCCACACACGGGTTGAAGTGTGTGTATGTGCGTGTATACTGGGCATGCAAGCCATCCGAAAAATGCCTGAGGCCAAGCGTTCGCCTCCCACTTACGAATACATCTGATGGGTTTTAAATTATAACATTACCAAAAAAGGAGCCACTAAACGGCCAACTAGCAATGCCTAATTTTTCCCCAAGAAAATAATATTTCCAGCACAAAAGGGCTTTAATAAACGGGCATTTAAATTCCACAGCACATTACCAAACAATGGGGATGCAGGCTGGTCCTTTACGAGCTGGGCAAGGGGGGGTATGTGCCTTGCGCTAATGTTCCGACAATTAAACATTTCTATAACACCGATTACGCTCAATTTTACGATCAAGACTCTTGCGTCGCTGTGCCCAAGCAAAAACATGCAGAGATCGCACTTGCTCCACAACAGGACATGGCGTTTTGCCCGAGAATCGCGATGCCAAGCCATAATCTCCGGCCAGCTTTGTTTAAGCAGGCGACCACCCCCAGGGGGAATACAGCACATGGCAGTGCTGCTTTTAAACCAATGCTGCTGGAAAACATTGGTGCAGAAGGGGCTTATATGAGCGCCGAACAAACATGTGATATCATATTTTGGGGGGTGAAAACGAGAACGTGTGTGTCGTATATGTGCGTACATGTATGTTATGCTGAGCAAAAATGTGATGCATATTTCAAAACATGCAATGCATATTTAGATATGGCTGTGTTACGAATGCACGCGTACACAGCTGTGCGGCGAAACGTGTGTACATATTAAAAACTTACAGGACTGATAGATACAGGATACATGTCATGCATCGTGTACTTTGCATCATGTATTGAGTGGATTAAGTGTTGTATGTTGTCTCGTTGTGTGCAGTGAACACAACTCTTATCCTGTGAAAAGTCATTATCCACAGCACAATTGTTCCCAATAACCGTAGATTTTCACGGATAATAGGAGTTACTCAACATAGCAGTTCGATAATGATACTTGCCACATTAGTCTGTATTGTATCACAGGGAATCTGTCTTTTTTTGGCACTTTTGTGTGTATATGCCAAAGTATTATACTTGTTTTTGTGAACGTTTGTACGTATGTGTAGTGTGGTTACATGTACTGCCCTTTTATTCAATGCACTGTTGGATGAGGGCCTCCCCACGCCGTGTGCGTTGCAGGGTTAATTTTGTGCAGGTTGGTGAAGGTGGGGAGCATTGATATTTTAATACAATACATTTTGCTGAACTGCCTTTTACTGCCATCCATGTAGCCTTGCAGTCTGTAACAACTTTCGCCACAGTGGCGAGATATTAATAACCTCGCCTGTATATTTGGAGTTTGCATGTTCTCCTCGTGGTTGCGTGGATTTTTCTCCGGGTCCTCAGGTTTTTCCCTCCACTTTTATAACCATGCATTTAAGCGTATTTGGCTGCTATACATTTCCACATGATAAGCCACTTTGATGAGCTCTCCTTTGTGGCCAGGTCACTTCCGACAAGAGCTATATAGCTCAGTGGGCCTTACCTGGTAAAATATAAACAGTAGTTGTGCATTGCGGTCACCCATCCCACCACTATCCAGGCTCAACTCCGCCCAGCTTATGAGTTCTATAACAAGATCGGGTGCATTCTGGCTGATTCTGTCATTCACACAACCGCTCGGATTATCCATCTACGAACGAGAGTCGCGCTATTACCTTCTTGGGCACCGAGCGGCCGAGGGCCACGCCGGGCGTGGAGCAGAAGAGGCCGACGTGCACCCCGGGTGTGGCAAAGCGAGAGCGCTCCGACGCCAGAGCCAGGTCACATGACGCCACGAGCTGGCAGCCCGCAGCCGTCGCTAGGCCGTCCACCTTCGCCATCACGGGCACCGGCAAACGCTGGATCGTGCGCATGACCTGGACGACAAATACAAAGGACCCCACCCCCCAACTCGTATAGCCTTTAACATACTGGGGGGGCAAGTACTGTTAGTGAGCATCTATGAAGGCCAGCATCACACACGTCGGGGGGGGGGGGCAATGCCACGCCGGGTCACCTTTGTATCCACCAAGGCTGATGTTTACACACTGCAGCAGATACTTATTCAAGGCCGAGTCGACCTAGACAACTTGGTCACTGCTGTTGGCGGTAGGTGTGAATCAAACTCGGGTTACTGGCTTCGTAGGGCAGCGCGCTAACCAGTAAACACAATGTTGTATATAGGCCTTTTTCCATTTTTGTTTTTTATATTAATGATTTTGCCACTTGGGGCAAAAGGGGGTGATACAGCCCCCCCCCTCCCCACACACACAACAGGCCGCCGGAGATAAGCAATAAAAATAAATAAACCCAAAACAAAGAGAAGGGGGGGGGGGAATTCCTAATGAGAGACTAAAAAAAATCCCGACACGGCTTCAAAGCCTCACCAGCTTCCAGGGAGGCGAAAACCGGACAGACAAGTTTTGGTTATTTTAATTAACAGAAAGTCCAATAAACACTCAGCAACAAGAATAAGCTGACATTATGGGAATCTACACACTCACTACGATAGACTACAATCTAAAAACCAGACTACAATCTAAATAGTGGGTTATTACTTCTCATACATAATAATGATACTAACGTTTTGATTTAAAGCTTTCGTGACTGCAGTAATTCATATTCTTAGTTTTTTCGGTAAAGTCACGTTGAAGGGAAACAACAAAATAATAAAATATATATAAAACAATAAAAAATTCTCACGACGTTTCGACCATAACTCAAACGGTCGTCTTCAGGTATCAACACACCTGAAGACGACCGTTTGAGTTATGGTCGAAACGTCGTGATAATTTTTTATTGTTTTATATATATTTTATTATTTTGTTGTTTCCCTTCAACGTGACTTTACCGAAAAAACTAAGAATATGATACTAACGTTATTCACCTTAAATTACACTACATCTTGCCGTTTACGTGACTTTACAAAAACCAAAGAGATAAATTCCAGCATTCAAGAAGCTTAACCGAAGCTTAGTTATACCTCTAAAACTCAGGACATCAAAGAATTGCTCTAGCATAACAGCACCGATCCCCGGATACAGACGGGGGGACGAAATTAATAAACCCTAAGAAATACGTGGTGATGACAATATTAAATCACAATCTTGGGAAACATAACCAAATAATAATTATGCAGTATTAAACCGAGGGTTATCCAGAAGAGATGAGGCGAAATAGGTCAAAGTTACACAACCAAGATAAACTGTATTCCACAGGAAAAGAGCCTCCCAACCGTCTTTGTCTTCCCGCAGCACGGGATAGCAAAAGAATGTAACACCCAGAGCGAGGGAAATGACTCATCGCCAGAGAGCTTTTATTGCAGGGGGGGCATCTGTGTCCCACGGATGAAGGGATGGCTTGAGGAGGGCGACGGTGATCAGGCCAGGGAGAGACACAGATGGCTTAATAAATGAGACACACACAAACACACGTATAGCCCCCCTCCCCCCCACAACGCAGAGCGAGATTAAAGGAAGTTCCGGTCCTTTGTGAGAGGGCGAGCGGAGTATGGAATTTTGGCATAAAAAGAGACGCAAGCCAGCATTGAACAGCAGCTACCAGCGGCAGAAGATGGCGACCATCAGCTCGACAAGGAGACACACAGCAGCTCAGAAGAGGACAGCAAGCCAGCTCCGGGGCATGGCCTCGAGATCAGAGTGTCGCTGGAAGTTATTCTCAGCGTCAGGCAATCAACCCCGAGAAAGGGCGGAGAGGGCCAAACGTCGACCAAGCCTGCCATCAACGAACGAAAGCGTCGTTCGTCGCCAGAGAGCCGGAGCAAGAGTGAGCGCGCAGCAGCGCCACCAGCGCCACCAAGCAAGGGCGCCAGCTGCCAGCGGACGAGCTGTGGGTGCTACCTGACGACGGGATCATCGCGCACCGACGGCGAGCGTCGTGCCAACCCTTCCAACCGGCTGTGGACCGAGCTCCGAGATCGCCCGTGTGAAAGAAGGAGAACCCAGCTATCCGTACGATACGCACACTGCCACGCATTACAACGCATCACCCGGCGTCTGCTTGACGCAAAGAATCGATCAAGAACACATCCCCACTCAACCCATACCATCCCCACTCAACACATACACGAATCATTAATAAGAAGACTCATGCTAAGTGCGTCAAGTATCAACTGATAACGAAGAACACGGTTGCCATTGGGTTACGGGGAAACGGTCGTTTAGAAATATTTTAGTAGTTGTTTATTTTTGATTTGCATACAAATTATCAACGAATTAATCGATGAAAACTAAACGTTTAAAAACCTAAGTTATGAATCCACACACTCACAGGGAGAATATTGTGTTGAAATCTTCTTTTGATCACAGAATCTGCCCGCGAATTTATTGAAACCTCAGCCAATTAATGAGTATTTGCTGAAGCAGGCATACTGCCACTCACCCTGGTTCCAAGACATTTCGCAATTATGTAATCTTGCTCATGAATTAATTACCGTATACTTTGCCTTCAGGACATGTTTCTTTATTGCCTTCGTATGAATATCGTTGCATTAATTTTTAAGGACTTTTGGTTCCTATCGCCGTATATGCTCGTGTTACTCTGATGAAGCAATCAATTGTTCTGTTACCCAGTTAACAAACGTGATCATTGAGGGCCAAATGTATGGATCAATGAGGGTTGGCAATTTCAAGCATAAGAATTCGCATATTAGTGTGTTAAGGTTTTGTTTAGAAATTAAAATTGCTTAACACAGAAGTGTTTGAGTGTTTCTTTCCTAAGTTCATGCATAATAATCTTAATTATAAGAACTGTATCCTGCGGTGAGATTTGAATTTGGAGACCTGACATAACACACTAATACATAATCACTAAATGTTAAAGCGACAATAATTGTATTATACCGATCGATAATACGAACCTAGACAACGAAGCCGAGCTTCATCTGGCATACTTACAGCACACCTGCATAACTTCATACAATTATCCCAATTGATGATACGACCCTGGGCAACGAAGCTAAGCCTAATTATCATAACTGTCTACATTAGCATAAGCACATACATTAGCATAAATGAATACGATATCTCTAATGAGCATATTTTATGCGCATAATTACAACAATTAACATAACTTCGAATTATTACGCATTTTTCCCAATTTCATTAATTTTGTATTATTTTCATCAAATTTTCAATACCCGGCATATACAACAACACACACCTCATGTAGGTGGCTGATTCGCATAGGAAGGCTGGGTGATATACCCGCTCTTGGCAAATGCCCCATTTGCAGGCTGGTACTGTGTAAACCGCGTACTGGAGAGTGACTGTTGCAGCAAGGTATTGAAATGGTTTGGGTGAGGCGTTATATAAGGCGCTTTGAGTTACCGAGGCATTTAAGCACCTTATAAATCCAATAAAAAATCCAAATAGCACGTACATGGCTGATCTTTTGCGATCGATTGTTAATTCTAAAGATGTTGTGGAACATCTAAAAACAAAAATTAGGTTAGAACTTTTTTGGCTGAAAATGACAACATACAAAAACTCTTAATTGTAATTATTGAACAATGGCTGCCTGTAAAGTATTTGGTTTCCCTAAAAATTTCAGACAAATTTTTTGAAACTAGGACTATGGAAATGTGTATCTGGATTCAAGCACAATGGAACAGACCATTCATGAAATGAGTAATTCCAAGCGGTTTGGTGGACCTAGTTTAGCCAGCCCTTGAACAAAGAGCAACAAATCTCAGTATAATCAGTGAGAGACATCTGGTGCCAGGAGAAACGGCATTTTCCGGAGAAAGAAGGTATGTGAGAAGGGGTTAAAACAGCATTAAAACTTGAAACCTGGAGAAGCAGTAGAAGTATGTGGTATTAATGCCAATAAGTTAATAGGGGGCTGACTAATGACAGAAGAATTGCACAATATAATCAAATCTGCATTGAGTAGTTAAAAGTCGTGACGTCGGACACCAACAACCTCGTGTGCCTTGCCGGCCTTCATAGGTGCTTGCAAACAGCACTTGCCCTCACAGTTTGTTGAGGCTATACGGGGGATCTTTGTCTTTGTCAGTAGAGATGGTGTGGCGTTTTCTGTGTTGAGGTCTGAATGTCATAGCATGTGTGCCATCTCATGGTTGTGCATGCACTGATGGCTTATCAGAATATTAATATCACCTCCGTGCAGGTCTCAAACACTCGAGTATGATGCTCTCGCCCGTACTCCGCCGTCAACTCCGACAGATCATGGCCCGACGAGAAGACAGGACCCACAGCTGCGCTGAGCAGGGGAACATCACACTAAGCGATGGGGCATTTCACTGTGTAAGTAAATGTCACATTTGATATGATTGAGTACAGACAATTGACTGAAACAATTGACATTTATATTTGACTGACAATTTGGACATATGACTATGCCAAAGAAGCATTTAAAAATGGGATATCTGACTATTTTTTTTATTTGTGCAGGATGAAGGTAGGGAGTGTTATGGCCTATGAATGTGGAAGATTATAAAATTAATAAATGGCAATAGTCCATGCAGGATAATTGCAAAAACAAAATATGTATTAAGTCACACTAACATGTGGTTATTCGAGTATGACTAAGAGTGGTATTGGAACACAAAGAGTTGCATTTTTTAAGAGAAAGAAAATAATGACTTATTATAGCTGACACATGCATGTTGGGTTAGGTGTGGCAAGGTGTGGTGGTGTTGTAGCAAGGCAAGGTAGAGACAAACCAGAGATGATTATGACCCGCAGCGCAGGGTTGTTGAGGCCATCAGTGAGGTCGTTGCGGAGGGAGCGCAGCATGGCGAGTGACAGCACATTTCTCTTGCGAGGGTTGTTCAGAATTATGCTTCTGTGGGTGAGAAAAATATACGAAAGAGGTCCAATTAATTACCTGCCATTCACTTATCCACAAACTAAGCTTGCATGTTAAAAGCATGAACCGTTTTATTTGTCCTGATACACCTTTGTGTAGCTTAGTTTACTGTCAATCTACTGCTGGATGTAGGCTTCCCCATGTCATGTCCATCATGAAGGTTGTTTGACCATACTTCACCATACAAGTGAAGCAAAGCACCCAGACTATTTCGTCAGATTTTTACTTGCCATTGATGATGTTTAGCTGTGGCTGGGAATCACACTCACGGTCACCGGGTTCACAGCACAGTGCTCTAATCCATTTGCCACTGCTCCAGAAGTTACACTGTGGGTATCAATCTGATAGCATCTCCTGTGGCTTTATTTGATGCAGAAATTGCCCAATTTACAGTAATATAGGTATATAGGCACAGCTGCTAAAAAAACACTATTTTTACTATTGCCATTCTCGACTCTAAAAACAAAGCCACTGCCCCAAACTGTAACCTATAAAGAAGCATTGTTAATTATGACATAAAGCCGGATGCTGGAATACTGTAAGAGTAAACTTTGGAGGTCAAGTAAAGACTAAAGTAAATAGTGGAGCCTGGCTAAATAAACTCAGTGAGGTGTTGTGCCAATCAATGCCAATGGCCAGGATCCTCTTGCCTTGTGAATGGCAATCAAGGTTTAAGGTGCCTTACAAATTATTGTAAATCACTGCCAATGTATGTCACTTAAAATGTCTCCGTTGCCGTCAGAAGCATAGTCTTAAAAAATAAAATGCTTCAGCAGGCTAACATTTTGGTCATTATGATCTCATAAGATCTCAGGAACTAAGCAGGGTTGGTTGATCGTGGGCAGTGCTTGGATTAATGACCACCATGCACATCTGTGAAAACTACCGGACATCTGTGAAAAAAGAGCTTTATGGCTCATCAGTATATTGATTTCGCTGTTGTAGGCTGGAGGGGGGGGCTACGTGAGTGGGCAGCAACAATCACGTGTGATGATCCATCACACCTCCATCGTGTTTACGAAACACATCATTCATCTCACCCAAAAGGAGTAAAGTCCACGGGTTGAGGGTCAAAGTTTTAAACTATGGGTGGGTGTAGCGGCCTCTAGTGGCCGAAGAGGGTAGGACAACGGTGAACCCGTCACTGTACGAACACACGAATAACAAAAACATTGATAACATTACAACGGTCAGATGCAAACGTGTATCGTGAGAGCTAAGGATCGATATTAATCGATGCATCTTCACACCTCAACATTTAACCTTCAGTGAGCGGAGTGTCCGGTGGAGGAGCGGTGGCACAGCGGTTAGCGCGCTACGCTGTAACCTCGACCACCCGAGTTCCGATTTTGGCCGAGGTTCGACTGCCTTCAAATGAGTCCTTCATCTGGTGCGGTGTGTGGGTAGATACAAAGACGGCCGGGCGTAGGCGCTCACCTAAATTCGGCGCTCGCTCACGTAACTTTACCCGAAATGTTTAATTTGCATCACTTTTTGCAACTTCACACGCATGCAATGCAATGCTTGCATGCAGAACCCCTTGAGCGACGGATCGGGAACAACTGGCGTCCAGCGGCGGATCGGTTTGCGGCTGCTAACAATAACAAAAGACGATGACGCGATGTGCAAGTGCGTGCCTGCGACAGGGGGGGCTCACAACTTGCCTGACCCCGTCGCATTCGCTGCGCACGGTGAGCGGGGCCTCCCTCTCCGCCTTATCGGGAGAGGCCGCCGAGCTCGCAGCAGCCCCGGGCACACCGCGTCCTGCCGCCGCCGCCGCCGCCGACCCGGGCGGGCTCGGCCGTGCCGCGCAGAGGCGGCGAGACGCACGGGCGAGCGCCGTCGCCATTGCCAGCGAATGAACTCTGTTGACTCCACCCCGCCCCTCGCTAACTCATCGTCCACCTCCCCACAAACCCCGCCCCTTTCCCTAACCCCGCCCCAAAACTCCGCCTCTTTCCCATAAACCCCGCCCCAAAACCATAATAACCCCGCCTCCCGAGCACCTAAACCCCGCCTTTCATCCGAAACCCCGCCCGCCCCCCCCCCACTCGTCCCTCCCCCTCACATCTCAACCCCACCCCCATAAAAAAAAACCCGGTGAGGGGAGGGGGGGATGTGGTGGGAGGGGAGGTGGCGTGGTGGGGGGGGGCGGAGCCCCACGGTTTGTTGTTGTTCGCGGAGCCGCGGCGGCAATTTGGTTGGACGCGCGCTCTGGACAAACTGCAACGCCCCCCACCCGCCCACCCACCGCCTCTCCCCCCTACGCTTGGTGATTGGTCGATGAGGGAGGCGTGGCCCGCGTCCCCTCCCCCACGTCCCCGTGGCAGGTATAAAAGAGGAGGTGCTGTAACAGGATCAAATGAATTCGCGATGCAATGAATGATAAAAATATATGTTAATGATATAGGCCCATATATGGAGTAATTGGGCGTGGCCTTGTCCATATAAGGAATACTGTTACGGGAATCGACCGATTTTTAACGATACCATGCTTGATCCATGCTTGATCCATGCTCGAACACAAGTTTGGATATTTTGAATACAACATTTTTAAATCGTTCAAGTGATTCGTGTCACATGATTTCTGGATGGAAACCGACGATTTGTGGATCGCACATGATTCATGGATCCTTGACGCTGATTGGCTTCCTTCGACATTAACGTAATGAATATGTCGTTCATTGCGTCGTCGATTCATTTCATCCTGCTGCACGCGGCCACTCGCGTGTCCATTGGGTTAACGACTCATCTCATTCGGCATGAGAGCGACTCAACGCGGTTGTGAATGATACCTGTGGTCGTAAAACAGCGGTTCTTAACCTTTAGTGCAGCCTTGCCACAACCCCTTTGATTCTAAATCGTATTTTTTGTTAAATAGTGCTTAATTTGTGTTTCGATGATTAACCTTTAAAAAAATATGCGGTCATGTCTCGCACCCCCAGAAAGGGCATCTCACTCCCCCAGGGGGCGCGTGCATCTCAGGTCCAGAATCACTGCCTTAAAATAATATAGTTGTACTCTGTAAAAGGCAAATGGCTTTGGTTGTTGAAATATAGCTCACTACGCTGGTAGTTGTGCGGGACACGGCCGGAGTGGTTCAGAAATACCACCCAGTTACCTGAGTGAGATTGCTATAGCCCTGGCTAACATCATCCCCCTAACTCCGAACTCGGTTGTCTTACTTGACCACCTGCATGTGAAATTGTGTTGCTGCTCTGCATCAACCATGCGGAAAAAGAATACGTTTTGAGAGTTAGTCTGGACGCCTGCATTCTTCACCAACATGCACTGACCCATACTTTTTCCAGTTCTGCCTTTATCTGGAACTGCATCCCCCCTGGTCATCCAGTCTATTGACTGCTCACTTGGCACCACGGTGGAGAGATGTTAACTACCTCGCCTGGTATGTAGGAGGTTGTGGTTTCGATCCCGATCCCGACCCTGACGCCTGTATATTTGGAGTTTGCATGTTCTCCCCGTGGTTGCGTGGATTTTTTTCTCCGGGTCCTCAGGTTTTCCCCTTTATATTTAGAAACATTCATTTAGATTATTTGGCTGCTATAGATTTCCACATAAGCCACTTTGTTGAGCTATCATTTGTGGCCTGGTCGCTTCTGAAAAAAAGCTCTTTAGCTCAGCGCGCTTTACACTGTAACAAAAATATTGTTTACTTATTTCAGTATGGCCAGGTGTTAACCAGCAACGTTCACAGGTTCATGTGGAGGTTGGTGAGTGAGCCAGAGTAGCATCATGGCACCCTTTTTCACCAGCATCATCATTGTTATCTCTATCATTTCAATGAATAACATTGTGATTTACTTGGCAATGATACCATCCCACCTACCAGTGGCGAAGGGTGGTTGGTTGGCATGGGCTCTGGTGCCATAAACCACTTTTTGTCTTTAGTTTGTTGCCTTTTCCCCCGCACCTCCAATTAGCACGATTGGCTGCATACGGTGCCTGTCACATGGGCGTTTTTGGCCCAATGGCCCCAGTGCAATTGCACCACGTGCACACTCGATAGCTGTGCAACTGGCCACACTCATTGTTCCCAAGCACAGGAATAAATAAGGCATGTGCCGCATGAGAATTGCTCCAGGTGCAACCTTCACCAGCTTGTCCTCGGTCACGTTTACGTTTCATGGCCACTTAGAGGTCATCGTTCAAAGTTCCATCACGGTTCAGAAGTTTCTGTAATGACAGGCTCTTAAGGGAGAGCTAAAGACTGCAATGACATTTGGATATACAAGGTGTCTAAGCGTTAGTGTTTCCAATAATTGTCAACAATGTGATTTCGGTTTAAAAAACAAAAATATAGCAAATGAGGCATGATCTTGCCGCTCGTGCAATATATTTATACCAAAATTTGACACTAGATAGCATACATGACATGATCAAAGAAGACTGCACGCACCCTTGCACGGCTGCACGTTTGAAAAGCAGCTAGCTATTATGTATGAAACATCTGATTTGTAGCAGCATTTTTTAATGAACAAGGAGTCACATTACAAATGCATCGTATTTGTATTCATCCATCGATAACAGCATGACAATGGTAACAATCACAGTGCTTTGATACTGTACGACATAATGTCGGCATTCCCTATCCCCTTACACGCTCACGTTGATTCCTAGACCTAGTCGACCGGGAGTAACACCGATGTAGAGAGGGGATTGGTGGCAGGAGATTATTTGACATGGTCCGTGATGTAATGGTAATGGATTGGTGACTGGAGATGAGGAGACAGGGATGAGGGGAGAGCATGGGAGAGGGGGTCGTGGGGATAAAGAGGGGACGTCGGCAGGAGCGAATGGCAGAGAAAGCTGTGGATAGAAAGGAGAGAACTGTGGATGAAGGAGGGAGCTGTGTGTGATGGAGAAGGTGGAATAAAAGGACGAGAACCCTTACCTATCTCCGCATGTTCAGGAGGAGAGTGTCCATTCTAATACTTTGACTACTGATGCCATTTATTTATCCATGAGCCTCGATACTTTCAGTCACAATAAACGATAACTGTCCTGAGAGGCTACCTGAACCACCGTTTGGATGATGTCAATTTTACCATATCCAATTCACCCAATGCTAAGAATACTGAGTGGGCACCGTGTAGTCAACGGCAACTATCAATCTGAATGGCAATTGAGCCCACAAAAGCCAGGACGCCACAGCTTCCCAAACCTCAGCACCACCATCTCATGCATTGTTCAGAAGAGGCACTCCCAGTTGGTTGATGACATTCTGTACCAAGATGGGAACTATGCGAATGCTCCCTAAAGCTGTGTGTTTGCCTGTATATATATATTTTTAGAAAGGTTCTTGAAAAAAATAATGTGGACACAATAATTTAGAGGAAATCTTTGTACGTGAATGGAGTGGCAGTGCAGTGGTTTGAGTTTGATTAATTCCTGGCTATGGCTAACATCAGTGGTAAGTGATATCTGAACTGGTCCTGGGCCCTCCCTTCACCAACCTGCACTGACCAGTGTGGTAAAGTATGGTCAAGCAACCCCCATGACTGACGCTACATATGGAGGCTTTCATTCAGCAGTTGCAAATGAAAGCGGCTATAGTGACTATGGCATCGGCTCTTCTGTGTCCACAGTATTATGCAACCAATGTCTGAATCGTTGAAAACATAGATCCCTTGACATATTAGCAGGATTCCTAATAATGAGATTGTAAGCTTAAACCTTCAATTTATTATCAGAATTAATGTGTTAAGGCTGATAATGTCTCCGTCTCTCTGATTCTCTCTCTCAGTCTTTGTTTCTCTCATTCTCTCTCTCTTAGTCTGTCTCTATCTTGTATTTGTGCAGGTGGGAATTCACGCACCTGATAGTCATGGGTGAGTCAGTGCAGGCTGAGGTGTGAGAGGTGACGTAAGGTGGTGTGTCATGGGCAAAGGCTCTGCGTTTTGTTTGGGCATATCCTACTGTTTAAGGACAAGGGGCTGGATATACTTGTTTTTTTTATCAGCTCAGGGTCAATGGGGTAGTATAAATGTGCCTTAGAGTAACTGCAATTGTTCTTCAGCTGCCCTGCATTTACTGGAGGTCAGCATACCTGGTGGCTGTACAGGTATGGCACCGGAGAAAGTCGTGAATTGCACAAACATTATTTGTGGTTATGTGCGGCACGTTTATTTTTAAACATTACTGTGCGTTTATGCAATTAGTGTCTTTTTATGCGTATAAAGAGTACTTACTTTCTCACTTAATATCTTCAGGGTCACTGGTAGACCCGGACGTGGCACGTGGTTTCTAGCCACAGCCATAGGAAGATATATACTGGACGTGGTGCGCCGGGAACGTAAATATTTTCCGGGTCGCTGATCCAAACATATCCAGCTCAGCCCTGCTTGTGCATGCATGGGCTGCAGTGGCGTAGTTCTTTGTGCACTGCCCCATACAACCAGGCCCCTTTTAATGACCACGGTGAATGACAAGCTATTATAAAAGCCCGGAGTTTCGTTTGTCCGTTTGTCCGTCAACTAAATTATGAGAGCCTTTCAGAAGGCCTGAATCAAAAAGTTATAGAAAGTGGACACCCCCCCCCCCCCACCAGATGAAAGGGAAAAAAAGTTGATCCAACAAGTTTCCAAAAACATTTTCACTTCCCACCCCCCACAAAAAAGGAAATGTATTTAGTAGGCATGTATACCTACACGCACTGCATACAATAGAGCCAAGCAGTATCTGCACACATGGAGGGGGGGGGGGGTGAAGAGGACATCAGTGGGGTGTGACGGGCGAGGCGTGAAGCCCCGAGAAGCCTTCCGCAGGAGGCAAAATTTCGGCGACCACAGGCCGCCGAAATTCTCGTCGGTAGAAATTTGCATTTGCAGCTGTCACCCTAAAAAACCCTAAAATGCACGGTCCTTTGTATGTACATATGTATGTTGAACCTCTTTTGCACCGTACGTAGCCAACCGTGCAAATCGGAGGTCCTTTGTCAAGCCACTGCAGGATATCGGCATCCACACGTCGTGGTGGTTATGAAAGTTGTTTGACCATACTTGACCACGCTGGTCAGTGCGGGTTAGTGAAGGTGAGGGGGCATAGGATTGGCACCTCGGGCGCCGATAGCATGAGCCTCCCGTGCAGTTGCACCGCCTGCACTCACGACAGATACGCCACTGCCTGGGAGATGATGCCGTGCGCTTCGGGAAGAGTTGAGAGAGGCACTCGGTGAATCCTGGAGATGAGTGTTTCCGTGCCGTCCACAGGCGCTCACAACTGCCTTTTCTCCTTCGACGGAACAAGATGTTCCCTCTCGCCCTCTTCGTCGCCCTCGCCTTGGGTGGCACCGATGCGCAGAGCCGGCTTGGTACGAATGTCCTCCTGCCCGTGCTGTCACAACAGTCCAATTCAATTCCGTCAATTATCTTCCAGTGTGTACGTGTGCATGTGTGTGTTCACGTGTCCAGATGTTAGCGACGTCGTCTCTTCGTGTTTGGCATCACCTGTGTCCTACTGAGCACATTATCTTCTTACACGCTGTGTCGACCTCAATATTAAGTAACACACTCACTCCGTATGAGTTATTATTGGAGCATTATGGGTGTCTCCACATTATACATGAAATACAATTTTAGTCCATCAGTGTCATCGCCTTTCCAGAACAATATTATCCAGCAGCATTTGTTTAAGCAAGCAAACGCTCAATTGGGGTTAACCTTCTGGGTCTCAGCAGCAGAGTCAGGATTGTTTCACACAAACTCCCGGATTTCCAGATGTTTTTGGGAAAGAGCACTCAATCGAAAGGATGGTGCCGTGCTTAACACACGAATCAAGTGCTTCCTAACAGCACTTGTTCTCGAGTAGACAGTCCTCGCTTAACGGGGGGTTCTTTGCCATCTGTGCTCGTGCATATGCGTGTCCGTTATGTGCATATGTCGTGCGGGGGAGCTGTGGCGTACTGGTTTGTCACACTCCGATTACGAATCCGACAGCCCGAGTTCGATTGCCGGTCACGACCAACATTGGTGATGAATATCTGAACCGGTCCTGGGGCCCCTGGAGGTCAATTCAGCCTCAAATGAGTACCCGGTGTCTTGTTTCAGTTTCATTTATTTGCTATAGCCCTGTGAGCCATGCGGGCTCTTGACTCGGGTGCAACCGCAACAAAACAAGCAAAAACATGAACAAGAAAAACATCTTAAAGTGACTACACGCAACAGAAAAATCCAGGATAAAAACAGCAAAGCCTTCAAGAAAAAAACAACCGTATATCAACGCTGTGTGCAAAAATCCCAGTGGGATGCAAGTCAAACAATAACAACCATAAGACAATTTTGATTAAAGTTATCAGGCTAACTCTGTACTACAACAAACATGGCTAAACCAAGGCGTTTTCAAAATCACCAAAATAAAGCTATTAAAACAATGTAACAGTGATCATAGGAACTGTGATTCAAATTGAACAATAAACGATATACATAACATGTACAACCAAACTTTGCAGCCATAGCTGGCATCAGCACTGGGGAGACAAAGGCGGCTGGGCGTGGTGCTTGGCCACACCACCCCCTTAATGTGTCGTGTTTTGCCCTTCGAAGGTGCTTGCGAACAGCACTTGCCCCAACAGCACTGAAGGCTACAAGGGGGTGGGGGAGGGCACTCCTTGACTTCGTTGCTTTGCCGTGCAGGAACGTACAAGGTGGACCTGGCGGCAGTGTCAGTGTCGGGGCTGTCTTCGGGCGGCTGCATGGCCACTCAGTTCCACGTGGCCCACTCCAAGAGCATCATGGGCGTCGCGGTAATCGCAGGGGGTAAGGAGTCATGAATCTAGGGCCTTCGGGCGCCGCGTAGAGGTTATGTCGGTGAGTCGCCGGTCAGTGAGCTTTGTTTCCTGAGGTGAGAACGCATTGAGATGGGGTATTTTCTGGAAGGGAGAGTTGTTGATACGAAGCTACACATTTGGCGACCAGTCATGGCATCTGTATGCCTTTGATTTGTTTGTACATTCGTTTTCCCAGATACCAAATGGGAATAAGGTAAATAGGTGGTAAATAGTAGGGGTGTAAAGATTCAGCCCTGTCGCAATAAAATTATATGACAAGTTGCGATTCTGGGTTTATATTTAATATTTTTAACAATAATATAATTGTGCTACATTGTGGCTGATGTAGCAGCCTTTAGTGGCTGCAGGGGACATGCGAATCCATTGCATGTAGCATGCAAATCAAAACATTGATTTCTTACACACACCAAGTTTAAAAATCGACATTAATTTACTTCTATAATAGAGTTGTTTTGTTAGATCGCATAAATATATAAATGTGTCGTTTAACCCACCACCACCCGACACAGCCAACTAGTAAGGGTTGTCAAGTAAACAGAACATGCCAATTCGTCACGAGTACAGCACACCGGTGTGTTGGAGAGCCAAGCCACAACATATACAATCTGAGTACGACGTTTCGCCAGTAATTACAACTAGCTTCATCAGGCGACAGGCAGATTTGTGGAGAAGTCCGCCTGCTCTTGCGCAGAAGTGTGGTCGACTTGTGGCGAACATGTCCATGGGTCCTGCAACCAGGACCCATGGGCAAGTATATGTGGTTAATGCAGACATGATTCCTTGCAAAAGGTTTCAGTTTGGTGTTTAAACATCTTAACACAACTGTTTTATTGCACGAAAGGGTCAAACATATTCTTATATTTTGATACTGGAAAGGGAGGTTCCAAAAGGACAATATATCGAGTTTTTGTCTTTTCTCATTCTTGCCTTCATCATCATTTCCCTCTCTCTCTCTCTCCCTCCCTCTCCCTACCAGCTCCCTACTACTGCGCACAGAACAGCGCGCTCACAGCCACGGGGACGTGCATGAAGAAGCCAGAGAGCGTGGCCGTCTCCTACCTGCAGCAGGTGACGCGCAATGCCCAAAACATCCTGTCCATCGACCACACGTCGCACATGAGCTCGGCGCGCGTCTTCCTGTTCGCGGGCACCAAGGACTCCACCGTCCACCCGGGTAAGCGGACGGTTCGGCCCGGATGCGCTGTGTGATCACGGGCAGCGGCTTTCTGGTCGGCCACCGAACATTATTATGGTGGCATAGCTATCGGGCGTGCGGGCAAGAGGGGGCCAAGGCAATGTGCTACAAAGAGATGGGGGTGGGGGGAGATTGTGCAGGGAATCCCATGCCATTGCTTGCACCCTTGTCCATGCCAACCGGGCTACGTGACGCTACGATGATGTTGATGAACGTGCACTGAGACACAAAGATATGCGTGCATCAGTTGTGTGTGTTAATGAAGGGGATAATTAGGTGGTCGCTAACAGCACTTGCCTCAACGGTCTGTTCAGGTTATACGGGGGGATCTTTGTCTTTGTAGGGATCATTGGCAAGGTGCAGGAGTACTATCAGGAATTTGTGACCGCGGCAGGCTCCATCCGCACCGTCCTGGACATCCCCGCTGAGCATGGCTTTGTAAGTTACACCTCTCTATGATTCTCTACTATAACTCTATTTTGTGCAACAACAACAAAAAACCCATATTATGCTCGCTCTATTTATTATTATCTGCGATTATCCGTGGGGGTTTTTTTTTGCGCGGAAAAGTGGAGTAAATTTGCGAATAATTTAACGGACAACATGATCCGCGATGTTCGTACCCCACTTTACCACAGATTAGAGAAGTTCCCCTGTACACGGTTGTCCCATACAATAGCGGTGTCTGCACACCAGTGCCAGATTATCCTAGGAGCACAAGTAGCTACATATGTAGTAGCTATGGGCCCCGCACTTTCAAGGGCCCCCCGCTAAATGCTTTCAAACTATAAATTCCGGTTAAGTGATTCTGCACTTGCTCTATTACTATAGTACTATACTGCCTTCGACTTTTACGAACGACTGGGTGTTTAAGGTTAGCGATTTGTAGTATTATCTGGCTGAATAGCAAATGAAAAAATACAATTACTTTACTATGCAAGTTAAAAATGTGTGTTTTAATATTTACGTGTTTTTATTTTATTTAGGGCTCCCTTATAACATATGTTACAGGCCCCGCACTAGCTTAATCCGGCACTGCCGCACACATGACTCCTAATTAGTATGAAACCAGGACTGTACACAGAGTCGCCATGCTTTACTCTTGACTATTTTCGAATTATTCATATGAAGACACATTCGTGCACTATTAACGTCAGCCCTTTATAAGTAGCATGTTGCATATACATACCCTCCCATTTCCCGCTTTCACCTCCACTCACTCTCGCGCAGCCCACGGTGAGCGCGGGAGGAGCGTGTGGCTCCCAAAATGCAGACTACATCAACAGCTGTGGCTACCACGCCGCCTTTGAACTCCTCAACCACATCTACGGAGGGGGCCTCCAGGTGAGGCGACGGGTAACCGCTCTCTGCATATCAGAGTCACTGGCGAATTTTGTTATTTTGGTCATCTATTTACTCATTTAGTTTGCATCACATGTCGAGCCATATGTCCCCGATTGCATACATCTTGGCGGTAAACATTGCTCACTCGCTGCATGCACCAGTTGCAGCTGTTGTTTCGATGCTTCTACTCCTTGGAAGATTCTAGTCTATTTTCTTTCGGATTTATGTCGCGTCCCTTCCCAGGTTCTTTCCTTCTCAGCCGTTAACATCCCACTGATGGCCAAATGGCGTCCCCCAACGTCTCATTCACTCTTCACTGTCTCTGACCACCTCCGTCCACCTTTCTCCTCCAACTCTAGTCATCTCGTCCCATCATCTCATTTTCTGACTACCTCTATGTTTTCTTCCCTCTACCGGCCTCCATGCCAGTGCTACATTTACCAATCCTAATACAAACCCCTATCCCTTCTCACCTCATTCACTGTCGTCTCATCTCTCCACAGAGGCCAAGCGAGTCTCATCAACCTGAGGGAGAGGTAAGTGATATGCCTTCCCTTACTCACACATTCATAATCTCACTCAGCTGGGACGCTATATAGCTCTTTTTCAGAAGCGACCTGGCCACAAATGATAGCTCAACGAAGTGGCTTATCATGTGGACATTTATCACAGCCAAATGCTTTTAACGCGTGTTTTGTAAATGTGGAGGGGGGAAACCAGGGGACCCAGAGAGAGATCCACGCAACGACGGGGAGAACACGCAAACGCCAAATATACAACAGGCGTCAGGGTCGGGATCGAACCCGCGACCTCCCGTACACCACGCGCGGTGGCCAACATCTCGCCACCGTGGCACACTGACAGACGGGACTCTAGTTTTGCCTTTGGCTGCTTTACCTAGGGATTCAGTAGCGTAGCTATTGGGTGTGCAGGAATTTCAAATGCACCGTGGCCTGTAGGCCGCAGGAGTCCAGATGCCAGGTTATGAAGTTTGGTGATACTGGGCAAGAGGCTTCCTTTCACTCCTCGCACCCAGGCCCATGCCAAACACGCTACCGCTAATGTCCAGGGATCACCTCATTCGCCACGGAGTCGGATAGTGAGCAGAAAACGGTCCGATTCTGGAAGCTAGCCCCGGAGGCGGGGCTTGGTGAATCATGTAGACATCTACGTATGTTGAACTTCTTTCGCACCGTACGTAGCCAACCGTGCTGATCGAAGGGTGCGGTACATACACACGACATACACGCCGCACACATCGCACACACCACGCTACAGTACATCACACCACACGAGGGGGGAGTCAGGGGAGAGGGGGGTAGAGATGGCACCATAAATTGCATGCGACACCCACCTGAAAGACAAGCGCTTGTCTGCAGGAAGAAGCACAGGAGCTAGGTTTCTGAAAAGTTGCGTGTGGAATTTCAGTTTATGTAACATGTAATGGTGGCACATATCCGGGCACTCTCTAACATGCAAAACATACTGACAACGCAATTTTTTTTAAAGCTTTCTAAGACAAGGCCCTCCTGAAAGGAGTCAGCCTCGGCGCGACTTTTCTGGGCGAACAAAGAAGCACTGCCTTAGTTATCTCTGTAAGTAATCCACCGAAGAGCAGGTAACGATGACGTACCTCTCACATCGTACATTTCAAATGCACTGACAATTAATCACATTCCCTCCGTACCAATTTCTCCCCCCCCCACCACCTCCCGACTCCGCTCTCTACCCACCAGCTTATTAACTTCGACCAAAAGGAATATTTCAATTTCTCCCCGCCCTCCTCGTATGGCATGGACAACAGCGGGTACGCGTACGTGCCGCGCGCGTGTGCGGCTGGAAACGGTGAGATTCCATTTCCCCGATCACCCCCCGCCCCCCTTCCTTCTCTAAACGTTGACGAACGAAAAAACCAGAGTGCATTCACAATGCCCTCTTCGTGCCTGGAGTTTAATTTGACCCGAAACGAAGTTCGCCTCGGATTGAAGCACCCAAAGTACGCCCCGTCTTCTCCGTCGGAACTCTCGCCAGGAGAGGTCAGCAGGTCAAACTTGAACCCTCGCCAGGAGAGCTCAGCAGGTCAAACTTGAACCCTCGCCAGGAGAGGTCAGCAAGTCAAACTTGAACCCTCACCAGGAGAGGTCAGCAGGTCAAACTTGAACCCTCACCAGGAGAGGTCAGCAGGTCAAACTTGAACCCTCACCAGGAGAGGTCAGCAGGTCAAACTTGAACCCTCACCAGGAGAGGCTAGCAGGTCAAACTTGAACCCTCGCCAGGAGAGGTCAGCAGGTCAAACTTGAACCCTCGCCAGGAGAGGTCAGCAGGTCAAACTTGACCTCTCGCCAGAAGAGCTCAATAGGTCAAACTTGAACCCTCGCCAGGAGAGGTCAGCAAGTCAAACTTGAACCCTCACCAGGAGAGGTCAGCAGGTCAAACTTGAACCCTCACCAGGAGAGGTCAGCAGGTCAAACTTGAACCCTCACCAGGAGAGGTCAGCAGGTCAAACTTGAACCCTCACCAGGAGAGGTTAGCAGGTCAAACTTGAACCCTCGCCAGGAGAGGTCAGCAGGTCAAACTTGAACCCTCGCCAGGAGAGGTCAGCAGGTCAAACTTGACCTCTCGCCAGAAGAGCTCAATAGGTCAAACTTGAACCCTCGCCAGGAGAGGTCAGCAGGTCAAACTTGAACCCTCGCCAGGAGAGGTCAACAGGTCAAACTTGAACCCTCGCCAGGACAGCTCAGCAGGTCAAACCTGAGCCTCGCTCGCGCCTGGACGAGTGACCGCTCTGCATAGCAAGGGCGTCCGGGGACGCGGGGTTACATCGTGAACCAGTGGAGGGCAGTGCAGTTAAATAACTTGTTATGCTATACTTCTATGCTCCCAAGCCTATGCTTCCCACCATTGCCACAAATAACTCGCAGGAACTCGCATGGTATTGGGAGACCCTCAACCGGCAGAATCAGTGCCTTGCTACACCTTTTGTTCATGTTGAAAGTCATGCCGTTTTATTGTGTTTTTATTAAATAAATTGTCTTTGATATTGGCTTTCCTAAGGCTTCACTAATAACATGTAACGTGTACGGTACAACGTCGCATATCTGACTCGCTGGGGCCTGAGGTACAGGCGGACATGTAAAAAGGTTTAATTTTTGTGTGAACGTCTATAGAATTTGACCGTTACACCACCGTGAACCAATGCTGCACTTGGGTGTTTGGGTGGTGAATTGGTCATGGTGAATATGTAACGATGGGCTGTGGCAGTACACGTTTTGTATGTGATTCAGACAGTCCCTCGCACTAACTCTGCTTGCTGTTTTTCGATTTCCCTCTCCAACCCCACTGAAAACCCAACAGTGTGCAAACTTCACATCGCGTTTCATGGCTGCAAGCAGGGAAAGTGAGTGTAACAAAACAAGACGAAGATCCCACTGTAGAGCCTTCAACAGACTGTTGGGGCTTCACTCCACGTAGACAATGGTTCTGGCTAATCATGACTTGTGCTGTCCATCCTCAGCTTCATGTGTGTGTGTGTGCGCGTGTGCTGGCCACCCATCCACCTCGTGTGCCGTGCCGGCCTTCATGGGTATTATTATTATCATCATCATCACCACCATTTAGCGAATGCAAAGTGCCTAAGCCAAGCGGTTGCTTCCGGTCCTGCCGTGTTGAGTCCGAGCAGGTCTCCGATGAGTTTGTTGAGGATGTTGATGCACGGTTTGCTCCACCCCCACAAGCACATAGTGGGGCTTGATCTTATGCCCCCATCGGATTGAGTTTGGCGAGGCGTGTTGCCGTGACCAGTCCTGAACCCGTTGAGGGTGGACCCACTCCTTCCTGGGGAAGTTTAAACCAGGGGGCTTGCTGTTGTGCCGGGGTAGGAATGAGCTACCTTATTTGCCAGGTCCAGTGACTCCCATTCTTGTGGGCATGTGAGATTTGTGTTGAAGCCGCGAATGGGTGGATCTTTACGGGGCCGTCTATGTCTTTGTGTGTGTGTGTGGTGTGTGGGGAGCGGTAGTGTAGCGGTTAGCTCGCTGCGCTATGAACCCGGAGACCCGGGTTCGTATTCCCGCTCACGGCCAACACCGGTGACGATTATCTGAACCGGCCCTGGGCCTCCCCTAGGTCGACTCAGCCTCAAATGAGCACCTGGTGCGGTGTGTAAACATCACCGCTGGGCGGTGTGTAAACATCGCCACTGGGGAGACAAAGGCGGTCGGGCGTGGTGCTGGCCACCCACCCTCTCGTGTACCGTCCCGGCCTTCATAGGTGCTCGCTAACAGCACTTTCCCCTACAGTCTGTTAAGGCTATATGGGGGATCTTTTTGTCTTTGTGCACGCGACCAGGGAAAATCTGGGAGATAAGTACGCACGGCTGCTGGGCTACAACGAGGTTGGAGACCTCAACAACATCATCATCCTGTACCCACAGGCGCGATCCACTCTCTCCAATCCCATGGGATGCTGGGACTGGTGGGTTCGCACACACACGAATCACGTGTAAGGGGCCGTCCATAAATGACGTCACGCACCTGGGGGGGAGGGGGGGTCAGACATTTGTGACGATGTGTGACGAGGGGGGGGGGGGGTTGAGAAATGTGACGTCACATTAAAATGCGCAACTTTAAATAAATATAGACAACACGTTCTACTTAATTAAATAGACTGTTTTAATAAATGTTTTCTTATACAACATCAGAGTGCAGCGCCACATTAAATACGCACTACAATGATAATAGTTTAAAGCGATTTGAAGAATGTTTTATTTGGGGGGGGGGGGGGGCAGAGCTTTGTGACGTCATATTTGAGGGAGGGTCTCACTTTTTGTTACGCCGTGTGACGAGGGGGTGGGGTCAAAAATCGTCCAAAATCGCGTGACGTCATTTATGGACGGCCCCTAAACACCACAGCCTGTATATGTGTACTTCTGGGGTAAGTGCTGTTAGAGAGCACCCATTGAGGCTGGTATCACGCATGAGCGGGTCATGTAAGCTCAGTGACCATGTCCGGGCACTTTTATTGTCCCATTCTCATTGTAGACGTTCACACATTGCACCAGGTAGTCGTCGTTTAAGGCCTAGGTGAGGTAAGTTGATGTAAGGGGAGGCCCAGGACTGGTTAAGATATATGCAGCGTGTGTAAATACAAACGCATTATCAAATACACATGGACGTAACACACGTGAGCGCACGCACGCGTCTGAAATCCCCTTCTGTGGCGCCCCGCAGGCAGCTTTACCACGTGTTTCCTTTGTCTCGATTCCTTCCTTTCAGGTGGGGCTACACTGGAACAGCTTATGGTAAGTAAACATCTTATTCACGCGAATATTAATCCTAATGTCCAAATGCTTTTATTTTTCGATTTAAAGCTTTCGTGACTGCAGGGATTCATCTTCTTTGGTTCTTTCGGTAAGTCACGTAGAATGGAGATAAAATAGTAACAGAATAAAATTCTCACGACGTTTCGGCCACAACACAAGTAGCCTTCCTCAGGTGAAGAAACAGGACTGTCCGGAAGACAGCGCTTGAGTGAACCCTGTCAAGCTTGCCAGCGTCTTTTAAGCTGTTTGGGAGGAACAGAGCGCCTTGACAAAGGAGTTTACATATAAATTAGCATGCTAATTGTGTTGTGGCCGAAACGTCGTGAGAATTTTATTCTGTTATTATTTTATCTCCATTCTACGTGACTTTACCGAAAGAACCCAGAAGATGAATCCAAATGCTTGTTGACATAAAACAATGTTTATTGTTTAATTCGTTTGCTTTTTTTGTCCTAAATCATATTCTATATGTGCTATGGGCATCATGTCGTGTAATAAAGATGTGTATATTTTCAACTTTTAGCAATCAATCCACCACCAACAACAACTTGTCTTAAATGCCCCAGCAGATGACATTTCAGAAGTCACTTCAGAAGGCCTCTCTGTCCACACTCGGGGTGCAGCTTTCAATGTGCCCTGAAATGCGTATTCTTTGCATGTCCAGCAAATAGATTTTTGTGTTACTTTTCAGAGCAGGAATTTACGAAAATTAAGCGAGGAAAAAACTCACACATTGACTTGCGGTCTTGTGTGCGCGTGTGTAATGTCATTGGTGACTGGACAGAGACGATTAACTACATGTGCATGAGAACGTGGTTTAATCATGTGTGGCCATCCACATTTGAAACCAAAATCACGAAGTGGTGCTAGCTCAGTGCCCTGACCTCTGAACGACCTTGCCATCTCCTAAACGTAAACTCTTTAAAGGATTCAAATCATGTCCACCCTAGGTCAGTCCACTGGTTTGTAATTCACCTGTGCATGCACATGTACATCCCCTTTATTTAAATCTGCTGCCAGACAAGGACCTCGTCAAACTGTGTAGGTCGTGGGGGTTTTCTTACCAGACGTTTGTACTAAAAGGTGTACAGTAGAATGGACGCTTTTTTTGCTGCAGCGCCCCCTGCTGCCAATATAACCCCACAGCAGCCTGTGTTGATGCATGGAGGTCGCCCATCCAAGTAATATCCAGCAGCCTCCAAACCCGCTTAGCGTCCGAGATTTGACGAGATCGGCGACATTCCGTGTGTTTTTGTCATGAGTCACCTATACTTCCACCATGCAATCTTTCCCCGGTTACTTAAAAGTCAAGTCTCCCCTTCCTTCCACAAATGCCATCAGCCAAACCTCCAATTCATCAATCACCCCATGGCAGCAGTTGCTCATGTAAGCCATTATGTACTATAGCTACGGCCTAAATTTGTCAAATCTTTCAAATTAATTACAGTGGCTAATTTAGACACTATTTTCCCGATGGGGATTGAAAATTGTTCCATGATTTAAATGAAGTTCAACCCCTCTGCATGTCCTCATGGGATAAATGCGTTTCATTATAAACCCACGGTCGTCCATTAAATACGCATGCTCATGCTAACACAGCGTGTGTGCTGTCCGCGAAAGATGGCGTGTGAAAATTAATTGTACAATACACAGCTGTGACTGTTGTGATTCCAATTAGGTGCTTGAACCAATATGAAACAGATAACTTTTTTTATTGGGATTCCTTGGAAATGCTATTCAAATTCGACGAACCCAACTAATACATCCTATCGAGAAATTACAACCGTAGCATATCTGCCTGTGTGGTTGCTTTGGGTTTTTATTCCCATCGCATTTGCCTTTTCAATCTGTATTTTGGGGCTATGGAATCGAGCACCAAATGGCCTTCTCTGGATGCATAGCAGGTGTTTTCTTTCTTAAGAGCCATTTTATATCAGATGGAACCCTTTGCATAATATTCATTAACGGATCCCTTTAGAAGAAAGTTGATCAGAAACACGCACGTGTTTATGTCCGGGATTTGTTTGCATGATGTGCTTTGCCGAAGGCTTAACGACATCCATCGCCCTGATGGATTGTTTGTAGTCCTAATCATTTCAAGGGTGACTGTGACTCAGTGATGCAACTAGCTGCTGTGTGCTGCCCCATCGCTCATTCCTTACCTCCCCCGTTCTCCCGTACCTCAACTCTCAGCTTCAGGCAGTGGCTTTCAGGTGACTGGAGTGAAGAGGATGATGGATCGTATTACGGGCTAAGAAAGACATCATCATCATCATCCAAATCATAAACATCAAATTCATCACCCCGACGAGTGTCTCAATGCTTAAATGACAAATGTAGATGCAAACATTTCCACTGGTGAACCTGAACTTGTAGTGCGAATTAAATATTCCCAGGGCCTAGACCACTCTCCTCATTGGACAACCTATGCTGACCTGCAGGTACTGTATTCACTTATCGTAATACTAGCATTACAATCCTGAAACGCCCCACAAGTATAATCACATTGCCAGTAATTGATGATAAGTAAGTAATGGCCATCACATCATCATGGTCTGTGTCATCATCTTGAACATGACATTGCCTTTAAAAGCGAGCATATATCTTGCTGAGTTTTGCTTTTATATATGATGCCACCGATTGTTGTTGGCGATGATATTTTTACACGCAACACTGTGCATTTCACTAACGATTCTCAAGTGATACTTGGTATTGCGTTAATAGGATGAATATCGGTACCCGCATGCACATATCAAGATGTGAATAATGATCCGGTAACGAGGTCACACGCTTAATAAACATAGAATCGGCACTGTCATGACATCTTCATTGTCATCACTTTAATATCATCAACAGTATTGTGATATTGCAATCTATATGACATGGTTTAATGAATAGAAAAATACTGTCCTTTACAGGTTGTTATCGGATGATTAAAACATTTTAAAATGCAAATGGATTATACAAGGGAGACCTGGCAGCCCAGTTATGCGGTGATCGTCTTATTTTTCCATTTGCGAATGACCCTGGCAGACACATCAAAGAAATGTTTCAATGGTGATATTATCAGAGATCTTTCCGACTGCAATCACCAGACAGCGCATGTTATTCGGGTTGTGTGTAGAATGGTTCGCCACGTGTACGTACTCTGGTCTGACAAGGGAAATTGAGTTAAACCCTATGGCTAAGCGAAATAATGTTGAACTACGCATTTAGGTCGTGAATTGTGCGCAACTAATGTGGATCTCAATGATAATTGTCCTTTGTTTAGTCAGGTTAAAGCTCAATGTGATTTTTGTTCAACTATCAGGATCTTTAGAATAGTTCTTACTTTACAAAAGCATACTTTATTTGGAGGTAACGTAAATTGTTGAGCTTGGGTAAAGATATTACAGGACACTACTGTGAAATAGTCAAAATCGCTGCAATCATCACGATTATAATCATGATGTGATTTTTACAAGCTAGCGTCAATCTTAGTTTCTGAAAATCTAATGATATTGTCCATATCACGGTATACTTTAACATAAAACTATAAATCCAATGCAACATGTTAATAAAGTTCTACATTGGCAGTTCTGGTTGTGGTCTCCCTCAGCCTTGTATGGTTCTCAAGCTGACAGATCAGTTGGTTATTAGTTGATTGCGTTTAACGCCTGTCAAGTCTGCGATATTCTGAATTCCAGCCTTCCTTGGGCGCTCTCTTAGACCATGAGCCAGGGCCGGATATTTTACTTGTCGGTACCACCTGAGGTGCCATCACTTTGCTGGTTTCAATTTCTTGAATGTGGTCAGCAACAGTGACTTACGTGATAACCATTTGAAATGAGTGTCGTTCTCAATTAATTAACTCGTATTCGCCAAATAAATAAATACGACTCGAGTTTTTCGATCTCAGGCGGTAAGCAATTTCTGCTCTGGTCCGTGGACTCGTCGTGTAAGGTCGAACAGAGTGCACACGTGTGGCTGTGTATGTAGCAGCACCTGGTTGTGTGACCGCGGCAGACAACGATAGGCCCAAGAGAATGCAATTAGTGGCTCCGTTTAATATGTAGGCATTCGCGACCAATATTATTCATAATAATTCGCTATTATGGCAAAATAGTCCGATGAAGTTGGTTGTATTCACCCGTGAAACGTCGTACTAAAGTTGTAATTGTTGAAAGTTTACTCTCCAACACACCGGTGTGCTGAAGTAGTAACCAAATGTCTGGAACGTTTTGTTTACGTGACAAATCTTACTAATTGGCTGTGTCGGGTGGTGGTGGGTTAACGGCACATTTATATTGACGCGATCTCACCCACAACATTTGTCATGAGTAATGCCTCCACTAGAGGGCGTTATGACATCGCCATCGGGATTAGCTCCATCTCGAGTAACGGTGGTCGATTCCCAGATGTTTGGATTCCCGATCTGTGAATTGATGGAATCTATATTTTTTATTTTGATTCCGATTCTAACTCATCCCCACCCCACCCCCCCAAAAAACCTGTTTTTTTACAAAGTCTTCATTTTATTTTAGAATGTACTACTGCCGGATTAATAGAGCTTTAACAATTAAATAATTAGTTGATAATTTAAAAAAAACACCTACATACAGAAACAGAATAAGCATTGAATGAAGCTTCGGGGTATTTCGTGGTACCTGAATGTTAATTAAGTAAACAATAAATAATAACAATCCATACAAAAATAAATACTCAATTAAAATATAAGCAATTAAATAAGAGCACTTCACAGCTATAACTATGCTTTGAAACCTAGCCAACGTGTCGCCAATTCACCCAAGAACTGTTTTCATATGAACCAACATCACACCAATAATTAATCCTGCTACAGATTGTAGTTTCAGGCAAAGAGTCTCGTTGACCTCGTAGCAGTTACTTCAATAATTTTGTCAATTTTTTTGTATTAATAAAAGCTAATTGTGATTTCGATTCCAAGTTGTGGAGTCGCTCGTGGAGTTGGAATCGACTATCTCATTCTCAAAGAAAAATAATCGATTCCAGTAATTCCTTATTAAGGAATCGGTTCTTCTAGGATCGACTCCAACATATTTTACCAAAATCAGAATATTTATTTATACTCGAGGAATCCGATGAGCTATAAAGCTCTTTTTGCACAGGCGTCCAGTAATTTTCACATATGTCCAGCAGACGGGCACGGGAAGAGGGCGCCTCCTTCCAGCAGTGGGATTGACAAAGTTAGGACTTTCAACATTATTTCGTACAATATTCTCTGCATTCACCTGAAATGTCGCTTATTAAAACGACGATGGGCAATGCAAACGTGGAAACTCAGGTGCACGAATGCCGCGTGTGGGTCGACCTAGTTTTAACATAAATATTCCTGCCCATAATGGCAATGTTGAGAGGCTCTAAATGCCAGAGTCGAGGGTCTGCTAAATCACGACAAGAGGGCTTCAGGAGAGAGTTGGTTGTAGTTCTACTATTCCTCTTCCGCTGAAGGAGCTTCAGATTGACAGTGGTCGACAATGTTTTGATATACGTGGTGGTCCAGATGTCTTATGACCCACCACCCCGCACCCATTTAATTCTCTAAAACTTAATATATTTTTTTGTTAAGTAAGGTTAATTTAAAACAGAAATTAATGCGCAGAGGGAAAAGAAATGTTAGGGGGTTAATTAATTGGGGGAGGGGGGTCAAATGACATGCAGACTAGGGCTGAACTATTAATCGATTTCAGAAAGAAATCGCAATTTTTTAAACAATGCGATTAGTAAATCGCAAAGGCTGCGATTTTTTGCGATTTGAAAGGTCCTATTACTTTCTTATTGGAATTGTTTTCTTTTTTATTATTATAACTTTATTTAACTTGACAATTGTTCCATGTTTTATTGTTCTATTTCAATTAAAACATTTTAATAAAAACACGTTTGAAGCAATTCATATATTTTAAGTTCTCATCCCTTGCATTAGAATATATAGAGCAGTTAATATTTTGATGGCATCACGTGGTAATGCTCCATCACGTGTTTTAAATCTATTACACGGTGAATATTGAACTGAAGCTTGACTTGAAAAAAATGTAATCGCAAATCAAATCGCAATATCTGTCAGAAAAATCGCAATGAGATATTTCCCCCAAATCGTTCATCCCTAATGTAGACTACCCTGTATTTACAGTACACTGACCATCACACGAACAACTACAACACCGGACTCAAAACTTCGTTTAGCTCACGAGAAAGCAAATGTCTCCACTAGAGGCCGCTACAACATCACTAAATCGGAATTGTAAATATTGTGGGTTTACTCTCCAACACACCGATGTTGCTGTACGAGTAACGAATTGGCTTGTTTTGTTTACGTGACAAACCTTACTAATTGGCTGTGTCGGGTGGTGGCGGGTTTAACGACACACTTATATTCACGCGACCTCGCCCAATAAAACCTCTATTATGGACAACACAATAGCCCTTTGTCATCACATTCAATCATATTAGTCACCGTTATAGGGTCAATGAGTTAGGGTTGCAGGAGAGTGTGTATGGTTTGGGTGAGTTCAATTTATTTCGTAGAGGTTAGTACAACGGTGATGGTTGAATGTGTAGGCCCTAGAGCGGCGTTCTTCATTGCCGGGCCAGGTGGTCACTGACGGTCCGTGGTGACCTTTAATGCGGCCCCCAACAAGACACAACACGTGACAACAACCCCCCACCATCATCATTATCGTGCTGCTGTTAAAACCCCAATGGTTTCAAATGTGCGTCGGCCCTCGCACTGATGATGTCTTATCGGCGAAAGTGCACCAGCCCCCCCCCCCCCCCCCTCTCTGAAAATTAGTGAAGAACACTGCACTAGAGTCTGGGGTCATGTATTATAACGGGGTTGCGGGGTATGAATTAGGGTTTTGTGGATAACTCTTATGTCAAATTTCCACAGCTAACGGCAGCAGCAGCAGCACTTTCACAACGCGCACAGAGCGAGTCTGCTGGAATAAAAAAAAGACCTCTAAATAGCAGAGGTGGATTGATTGGCTCAGACGGCTGATACTGTCAGAGGCAATAAAGTATTAAAGCTTTCGTCACTGCATAAAATTACTCATTGGTTTTTTCGTTAAAGTCACGTATGTAGAAATACAATAAAATTATATTAAAACAAAAAAAAACAATCACGACGTTTCGATCACAACGCTGTCAGAGGCAGTCAGCCAGCTTTTCCGAGATTATAATTTCGGCGGCCTTATTCTAGCTCCTGCCTACGAAATACATCTGGAGTGTGTAGGTCTATATGGGGGGGGGGCGTGAAAAATTTTTTGGGGGGTGGTCGCCAATTTTTGGAAACCTGTTGCATCATCTTTTTACCCCCACGTCTGGAGGGGCGGGGAGGAGGAAACTCCAGGCCTTCTGAAACGCTCTTATAATTTAATATTGATTTGAAGCTTTCGTGACTGCAGGAATCCATACTCTTTGGTTCTTTCGGTATAGTCACGTAGACAGAAAATCAATAGTACACGACGTTTCGTTCGCAACACAAGCAACCGTCATCAGGTGAAACAAACGCAGCAGGAGAACTGCTGACGTATCATTTAGTTGACGCACAAACGAACGGACAAACGCAACGCCGGGCTTTAATAATAGATGTATGCAAATCCGTACTCGAGTCACGTGTGATTAAACAAGGGTATTTTTTTTTATTACAGTCGCGACTATTCTCTCCGCCTTCCTCCCCAAAACATTTTTTTTAGTTGAAGGTCTCAGCCCAGTCACCATTTTCTGCACTTACAACTCTCATTTGAAATTGTCCTTTAATTTCCTTGAGCCAGCTCTGAACAAAAAAATATTCATAAACTTATATTTTAATTTATATATAAATCTACGAAAATACTCTATGGAACTGCTGAAACTCCCTTCTCTCTATGACCTCCAAAACCCTTTACCTATTAACTCCACGTAATCCAAGCTGCTGCTGCCAGATTTCTCACCCGCATCCTTAAACAAAACCGCATCACCCTCATACACCAATCTGTTCACTGGCGTTCAGTCCACCCCCAAATCAACGACACACGAGATCACACTCCCTGTCTTCAAGATCCTCTATGAACTTGCTCCCACTTACCACTCTGCTCTCATCTCACTCTGATCCCCTTCACATACTCTCCGCTCCAGCGACAAAGGCATTCTGTCGAAGCCAAAAGTCACAACAGTATTTTCTCAGTGGGAGGTTTTCTACTTTCACCTCTGTCGTCTGGAACTCCAGCCACTAACAGGCTCAATACGTTAACTTTTCTCCCTCTGCTGATGACATATTTTCGATTGATTGTATGTATGTAGGTACCTATGTTGAACTTCTTTCGCGCCGTACGTAGCCAAGCGTGCTGATCGGAGGTGCAGGGGAAGGACAGCGGCATTGCGATGCACTTTCCATTGTTGTGTGCACTATGCTTGAGGTGTTGTTGCAGTAAGTTGCTTTACACATACAAATTATAATGAATGTATTCATGAAGGCGCATGAGTGAGTGCTGTCTAACGTTGGGTGAGGGAGACCGATGGGCATGGGATGATGTTCTGCTGACCCAAGGAGTTCTGAAAGTATGTTTATTTACCTCCATGTGACTCAGAGAAGGCACAGTTGAAATAGAAATAAAATCAACAATAAATATTTACACTTATTTCATGGAAATAAGACATTCAATACCTGTATTCACATGTACCATTGTATCAACCCTTGAATCAATATTACAAGTAATACAACATTTACTCGGTGGAGCAGTGGCACAATGGTTAGCGCACTACACCGCGCACTCTTGATTCCAGGCCATGGCTAAAGTGATATCTGAACCAGTCCTGGGCTCTACCTTTGGCACCCCAGCCTGGCTATTGTGATAGATTGTGATGTTTTGCTTTTTAAAAAGAAAAAAGTGTTTTTCAATGTCTTACAATCGTATTAAATTATGAGCTCATGTTACATTTCATCGAGTGGAGAGAACAAAACGTGTACAAACGAGATTGAATAAATGAGAAGCGATGCAAACGAGACGGTAAAAAATAAGAAATAAGACGAGCAGTAATTGTTTCTAGAATGATGGCCGTGAATCATAACAACTGATTGAATCATTCCACCATTCATGGACATAACGGGCGGTGGTTATACAGATACTGTATAGCGTTACTGCGTTTGGCCTGGATTTGAATAACAGTTACGGGTTGTAGATGTTCGAGGTGGTTATGGTTGAATGAGTGTACAATGC